GATCTACTAAAAATTAAAACAAAATACATGAAAGCAGAACTAAAATAAAAGTTAATAAAACTTGAGAGGAAACGGACAAGATTAAAAATATGCTTCAAAGAATGTTTAAAAGAACAAATTGAATTTTTTATAGTTCAAATATATTTGATGGTTTTTCATAGAAAGTTTACGTCTCTATATGGCCCCCGTTTTCCCTGGCTCTGAAGCAAAGATCCAACTTTAACCCATTTAAGGTCAAGTGAAGGTATTAGAAGAATGCCTTGGCGACACTTTGTTGCCCAATTAGCGCACACAATTCTTTCTTCACTCCCCCCACAGAGTCTTAACCTTCGTATAGTTTCATTTAATGCATCTCTGATATGCCAAACACGTGTCCTCTTCCCGCTGGAAAGTAGTGGAGCGTGGGTCACGTTTCTGGCAAGTAAATTCAATCAATTTGGGACGACGCAAACTAGTGACACTTCTTGCAACCATTCGGACACTCGCCTCGCCTAATTGGTTGCTAATTGTAATGCATTTTAGCCAGCTGCACTCGAAGGTCACCTCTAAACTTTAAGGGTCTTGGCAAATACTCGCAGTTCGGAACTTGTCAGCCTCAGGCTTGACTTGCCTTGGCTTGGCATGGATAGTTATTTTCCCTTTCGGCCTGCCAATTTTCATCTACGCATTACTTGATCATTTTCCAATTGACAGCCCACAGATGTTGCCCAAGGGTTTTCCTGCAGCTCGAACCCCCCCCCCCCCCCCCCCCCCCCCCNCCCCCCTGCTGTCTGTTTTCGAATTGTCAAATTAAAACGGAAAAATGTTGAATTTGATTAGCGAAGCGTTAAAGAAAAGACACGGCCCCACAGAAAAGGGAGAACAGGCAGGCAGGCGTTTGTGGAGAAAAAAAGCAAAGGAACGAAACGAAACGGAACGGAACGAAACGAAGCAACGAAGAGTACGGGCGGGGCCAAAGATAATGAGTCTGTGTTGAGACATCGTTTAAGCGAAACTTTCCGCGATTCCTCTTTGCTGAACTAACAGTTCCTGCTGCTGGGCCAGGGTTGGACATGTTCAGAAATGGAAAAGAAGACTTAAAAATTTTGCCGTGAATTGGGTAGAGTAGTGTAGATTTCCTTACTTTCCTTGCAAAAATATTTGTAAATACATTTTCTGATAATGTCCGCTAGTACGCTATCGGCTTATCCATCCTCCATCCCTGGTCAAATAGTTAGTCAGTCAAGCAAGAGGCAGCTATCATTGGCAGTTACACACTGAGTACAAGGGGCAATGCTGCAGCTGCTATTCCGGCCACGCCCTACACACTCACGCCCACACCATCTGCAGTCACTCCTTTGGTGGATAATTTCGTAATTATTTAACTTAATGGAAAACAAACTTAATTTTCGTGCAGGAGGAGCACAGCAAAACAGAATAGCCAAAAACTAAAAATATACCGTACAACATTTCAAGTCAACTCTGAGATGGCAAAAGATTGTGCGAGGGGGTGACAATGGTAAAGTGGTGCAAGGAGTGCTGCCATTAAGTCTGTGTGTGTGAGTGTTTAGTCAATCATCAGACAAATAGAGACTGGATTGGCGTGTTTATGCCTTTCCCGTTTAAAACATTTATCCATTGTTCGGTTTGAAGGATTTGGCTAATTGACAGCGCTGAGCCGGGAATGGAAAGCCCACCAAAAATGGTCAGGGCAAAATCCATGGCAGCGAAAAGTGCATGCCTTGGCAGCGAACTTATTGCGGAAAGTTCAAAGGTTTCCATAATGAAAAGCGAACTGAAAATTGATAATCCCTCTCCAAGCACCCGTAGCCCCGCACCCGCCACAATTCCCACTACTGCTTCATTCCACCAGGAGTTACTACAGCGGATAAAGTTTTTGTGTGCTGAGGTCGGTACTGTCTGGGATCTCGGTTATTAAGTGCCGCAAAAGTTCCCAGCCCCCAAAAATGATAATTGGGCATTGAGAAGAGAATTATTGCCCTGCCCTGCTCTGCCGCCCATTCCCCCTTTCACCATTTCCGACCGTCGAAAGATGCATAATTAACACAAAATAATGATAAAGTTCAGGGCGAGCAAGGCTTTTCTTATCTCCGCCCATTCAATTATGTAAGTGTTCCCACCTCCCCACCTCCCCAACCGCCAAACCAAATCCAATCCAAGCGAAACTAGCGCTAAACTTTCTCCAGGGAGAGAGCGTGAGAGAGATTTACAGCAAAACTTGCAGAGATGCATTCTCAAGTGAAGTGATGCTGGGATTGGAGCAAGCTCGGCTCTTTTGGCAGCCACTCGCCTGGGCCGCCATCGCGGGGTCATTGGCTAGACAGAGCCCACCAGCGGAAATTGTTTCATAATCAGCATTGACGAGCTTCGATGGAGCTGAGTCGGAGCTGCCACTCATCGAGGGACTATCATTGTGTTTCGATGGTGCGCTTTAATTATATTTCAAATTGCTCAGCGTTACATCTAGTCAATGTCGCCGCACTCTGAGTCTCTCTCAGTCAAGGTCCTGTGGTGCATAATGCTTTTTAAGGAGTGCTGCCACACACCATGATGCCCCGAACCCACTTGCACTATTTTCCATCCATGCACCCCATAACACTCCATCTCACTCCCGCGCTCTCTCTCTCTCTCTCTCTCGCTCTCTCTCTCTGTCTCGCCCTCCCTTTGGGTCCTCCAACTGTTTTGCTATGACGCTTGAGTCAACATTAATTTAAATGAGTTGCCACTTAACTTTTAATTAAAAATTCACTTTTTATTTATTTAGTTGGAAACGGAATGGACTGGCCCCGACCCAAACCTGGCGCCCCACAACCCATTCCCACCCCCATTCCCAATCGTCCCTCCCCCTTGCACTTACGCTGCGTCCCTCTGCCGCTAACTTTGATTTAAAAAAGTAGCGCCAACTAAAATAAAAAATGTCTAAAAATAAAACAAAACTAACAAAAAAGGAGGAAAGGAGGAAAGTAGGAAAGAGGGGGAATTCAGTTTTGCATACGCGCAGTTTCATATAAATTAGAGTTTGTATTATTTTATTCTGCTTGAAATGAGCGTAAATGGTTTTCATTTAATTTAGCTCGCGACTTTAATTGCCATCGACTAAATAAATATTCGCGAATGAGCAAACAAGTGCAACGATATGTGAAGTGTGACTGAAGAAAATGCAGAGTTCATGAAGCTCTTGCCAAAGCCTATTGTGTGTTCCCTTCTGGTATTTGCATTTGTCTTCGTCAGAGGATAGTAATATCGCCCTACTTGCAGCAATCCAATCTAAGCACAGCCCACAGCTGCTGAGTAATTAATTATGTAAGATCTCCTTTCGGTTCTCAGTTGAAATTAAAGCATTTTGAGTTCGCTCTTGTCACCGATTCAAGGACAATTCGAACTGTGAGCAGCATCTAATATTCTGATATGGGAGTGTTGAATGCTTTATGCTGGTTCGTAGCAAGTTTATTTGATGTCAATGTGTTAATTTTGACTACAAGACATGGCCAATTAATTACAATAGAACTGCCATCTCCCACACCCACTTGAATGTTCGAAGGATGCTCTGAATGCGTTGTCATGACTGTCAATCCACACTACACTGTCCACGAATATTAAATGTATTTGCTGAGGTTTATTGAACTGTTTGCCAAAACTTGTCATGCTGGGAAGGAATAGCAGGCAGACGGGCATTTGAAGCACCCCAACTGGAATTGATGCATTTACATCCGTTTGTAATTTACTACTTGTGCATGGGATATACGAGGATATCTTCTACCTGTGCTCACCTCCAAAACTGTTCCACCAATGTTATGCAGTCAGCCAATTCCAATTCCAATTCCAATCCTCTGCCAGCTCAATCTGCCAGTTACCTCTCTGTCTATATTTGGGTAGCGCTCTCAGTCTCCGCTCCCAACACAATCCTTGCAGCTGTATTGCTTTAATTTCATCATCATCATCATCGCACTCACTTGTGACCCGGCTGCATGCAAATTTTCCCACATCCGCCACATCGCTTTCCGTGTGTGTGTGTGTGTGTGTGTGTGTGAATTTCCACAGCTCAGTCAATATTATTGATCAGGCGTCAAATTTTGGTAGGGAGGAAGCTCAGACTCAGACTCTGTTGCACACACAAATTGTGGCAAATTTTCATGGTTGGCCTTTCCCCACCATCCACAGCCCGTGGTTGTCGCAGCTGGAGGCGGATTTGCTTGGGGTTATGTGTGGATATAACCAAAGTATTCGCCCTTAATGGCAGACTTCACAGCAATTAGCTTTCATGCTAGCAGCAGAAATATCAACGGCCATGGTTATTGATAGAGTTTTATTGAGACGTAACAGAAGATGGTGTTGGGGAAATCTATGTTGAAATCTCGAACAGATATTATCTGATGAAGTAAACTAGCTTTGGGGGGGTTTCATACACGTCTATGATACTTTAACTAACTTTGTTACGTCCTACTACAATTTGATTTGGGAACTATTTTTTTTTTGTAGACAGTTTTAGTCGAATTTAGCGAAGGGTTAAACCAAATGTCTAGAATATCGATTTCGAAATTGTTTCGTTCAGTTAAATTCGAATATAGCAGAGTGTTAAACCACATTAAAAAATTTCGGGAATTGCGAGCTCGAAATTTGTTCGTTCAGTTTTGGTAGAATTTAGCAAAGAATTAAACCACATTTAAAAATTGCTAGAATTGCGAGCTCGAAATTTGTTCGTTCACTTTTAGTCCAATTAAGCAAAGAATTAAACCAAATTTTGAAATAAGATTCGAACTTCATTTTCCTGCAGTGGCGCCCTACTTTGAGAAATTAAAAAATGCTCCCAGATACATCGCTGCAATCGATGACATACAAAATAATTGCTTCATGGTCGAAGCAGTCCCATGGCATCCTGCAGGGAATCGACGACCAACACGTCTCCATGGGATGGCGGTCTGCCTCCCTGCCACGGGTTCCTGCAAGGACTCGATGTACTCTACGAAGTCGTTGGCCTTGAAGGTGTAGGCCACGTCAGAAACTCCCAGCATGTACTAGTGGTACGGCAACTTGTGATGGTAGCCGTGTTTGCGTGGATAAGTCGGTGGCAAAAGATGCAAGTTCATGTGCTCCAAATAAGTATTATGGTCGCCCATGAAGGAATCAGCCGTGGCGACGTGGGACATGGCATCGGTAAGGAGCGTTTCTGTTTTAGGATCCGAGTTGAAGGCAAGCAGCATGGGGTCTGCCGAGAAAAGGTGATCCTTGTCCGGGTGCGTAAAGCCATCGCGCAGGGTCCACAGGAAGGCAATCGGCATGAGATTAAATCTTACGCAATCCAATAGGCGGCCCAGATGCTTAAGGCGTTTGTCACCCGCCAGGTTCAACCAGCGCAGGACCAGCAAGAAGACCTCTATTTCGGAGTTAACTCCGATAGAGTCGCGCTTAAGTAGGTCTTCGAGGTCGTCTACTGTTAGCTCTGCGAAATATTTGCTCCCGACGAGCGCTAGGAAGTAATTTCGAATCCTTCGCAACATCAGAGTGCGTACATCCCGAACTTCTTCTATTCGGAGCAACCGAATAGCACTTGACCAGGTTGGGTATGCAGTAGAAACGACGCCCCTCGATATTCACCTGCAATGTGGCCCTTGCATTGTCTCTCACCTGTTCGGCGACTACTTCAGAAATCGGCTTTTTGTGAGGCAATAAGTCGAAGAGAGAGCGCAGTGGAACCGTCTCCTCTCCCAAGTCCGAGTACTCATCCGGAGAGATCAACCAGCAGTAAGGTCTCTTTTCCTCCTCACTCTTGCTGTCATCAGGAGGCTTCTGCTCCTCCACCAAGACCGAACTGTTCTTTTTGCTCCTAATCGAGCTTTTGCGGTCTTTAATCATTCTTTGGGTTTTACTGTGGTTACCTTTTAGATTTTGTGTTCAAAGGGAGAGGACTTCCATATATATGACTTATTTCGGTGTGGTGACTGTTTTAAATTTGTCCATATACATATTGTGCTTGACTCCACCACTGGATCCAACGACCACCAAGAACAGATGGCTGGGTCGTGGCCATCTGCCCGTCCTCCCCTGAAGGCAAAATCAAGAAGATGCGTTTGGGTGCCTAGACAGATGAAAAACATTGTCCCAGTTTTAAGCTCCAGCTGAAAAAACTTGTCAAAGCAACAAGTTGTCAAATACGTAACATTCCATGACACACTTACGGAACGTTTTATGCTCTTTTTATTGGTTGACCTTTTTAGTTTTAAACTTAATTTGGAAACATTCGAATAAAATATAGTCATGAAAACTACCCTATCTTGTGGAGAATTGATTGAAAAATCGGATAAAAATAAATTTTTTGAGCTGAAAATCCTAACTAGCTAGTAAAATTAAATAGAACATGAAAATCTGGAAAATGATTTAAGATGTACGGTAATTTTGAAAATGAGAAGGTATATTTTGGTATATTTTTGAGGGTCGTCAGGTAAATTGTATTCATAAATTCGCCTAACAGCTCCATTTATTATGGTTAGCGTCAAAAACAATTTAATTCGGACCAAAGAACCATCAATTCTGCATATTTACAAATTCAGAAAAGCCGAACAAGGGTTCCTTGTATTTGTTGCTTTCCCGCACGTTATTGCGCGTCCTATATTTCGGCTATTTAAGACTAAATTACTTGCAGGGCTATGGAAGAAATATGCAGAGTTTGCATGGGAACGTCTGGAGCATTCACAAACATATTCGACGAGCCACAAAAATTGGGCACATCCATTGCTGACATGATAGCTCAGTGTACCGGGTACGAGGTTAGCCGAGGAGATTTACTATCAGAAAATATATGCCCGCCCTGCCTTGAGGATGCAGTGAGTGCATTCAACCTGAAGACCACCTGCAAGCAGAGCCTTAAATTAACGGAGCAGTTTAAAGAAGAAGAAATCTGTGATAGTGTCGAAGACGATGACTGGGAACCATCAGATTGCGGGAGCGAGCAGTCAAACAATATTGAAGCCGATGCAAAGGCTCAAGTTGAGAAGCATGTCGATCTTCTCTTCAAATGTACACTTTGTCCAAAGAGCTATCCGCATAGGTCGAATCTAAACAGACACATGAAATTGCATACGGGTGAACGCCCCTATCAATGCTCACACTGCTTCAAGTCCTTCTCATATAGGTGCGATCTTGAATCACACAACCGTACTCACACAGGTGACCGGCCATACCACTGCTCTTACTGCTCAAAGTCATTTCAACAAAAGGGCCAACTCAGCGATCACCTCCGTACTCACACGGGGGAGAAACCATTTAAATGTTCCCATTGCTCGAAGTGTTTTACTTGCTCTGGATCACTCCGTATTCACATACGAACGCACACAGGTGAACGACCCTACCAATGCTCCCACTGCCCGATGTCTTTTGTCCAAAAATACCATCTTGATAGACACTTTCATTTGCACACGGATGACCGACCCTACCAATGCTCTCAATGCTCGAAGACTTTTATAACCAAATCGAATCATGATATGCACACCCGTATGCACACGGTTGAACGACTCCATGAATGCTCAGACTGCTCGCAGTCATTTCGCACAAAATCGCTATTGAGCAAACACCTCTGCACGCACACAGGTAGTCGTCGTCCGTTTAGTTGCCCACACTGTTCGAAGACATTTAGGCAAAATGACGAACTCAAAAAACACATCCGCACACATACTGGAGAGCGGCCGTTTCAGTGTTCCTTCTGCTCGAAATCATTTAAGCAAAAATGCCAAGTCAGCGAACACCTTCGAACTCACACGGGAGAGCGACCATTTAAGTGCGCCCACTGCTCGAAGTGTTTTTCGTACTCTGGATCTCTATGGGTTCACACCCGTACGCACACGGGTGAACGGCCCTATACATGTACCCAGTGCTCGATGTCTTTTATAACAAAAAATACACTTGAAAGACACACCCGTACGCACATGGGCGAAGGACCCTACAAGTGCTCCGTTTGCTCCAAGTCATTTCATAACAAATCCAATCTGAGTGAACACATCCGTAAACACACGGAGGAACGACCCTTTACATGTACCCACTGCTCGAAGACATTTAAACATAACCAATCTCTTAAGAAACACATTCGCAGTCACACACAGAATGATAGTTCCCAATAAAACAACCTTCATTCACTTCTTTGGAGCATTTTCGTGTGTTAACTGAAGAAGGTTGGCTTTTGTTTGTTCTGTGGATGCACACAGCTTCAAAGATCTTGCTCTCGGTATGGAAACAAGTGAGAAATATGCGCAACTATTGATATGTTGCCTCATAAAAGGTGATGGATCTCAGAACCAACATGACAGTAGAGAAAGGAAAACGTCAAAGTGGACAACATGTTGGCTGCCAGTGGACACTGACCACCAGGTGGCAGACGCATTGTGTTTTTTACATGAAAGCAAAGAAGTGCATAATGGCTGCGATTGTATTCAAGACTATAAAAACCAATATGATAATGTTTATATTCTTTTCAGCAGATCCACTAAAAGTAGTCGGCGTTGCTCTTGAGCATAGTCAAAAATCTTCCTTCCATCAGTCCTCGGCGGAATTGCAGTTTTGAAACTTAATGTATTGTTTTTCTCCTTCGGTATTCATGCACGTAACATACAAGTTAAATTAATATTTATTTTTATTTTTTTGAGGTTTTATGTTACCGCTGTACCCTTGGGTAGAGGGGGATTATTTTGCCGCCCGGCTTTACAAGGTGGAAATCGCCACGTCGATATATGTAACTTGTTACAGTTTTGCTCCAATACTTACCTGGCGTAGAGGTTATGTTCCCCACTTCGTTAATTTTTTGAATATTTATTAAATTATATACAATATTCAAAACATTGCACCTATTTAATTCGATAACATGTGCCCAGCGATACCACTCGCGTCTAACAGCACTTTTAGTTTGTTGCTGTTACAGCTGTATTTCTTATGTTCTGTATCAAAACAAATTAATTCGGACCAAAGAAATATAAAATCTGCATATTTGGATATTTAGAAAAGCGGCACAAGGTGGTTCGTTGCTTCTTTCATATATTATCGTGTATATATATATTTAATCGTTTATTTAATAATAATTTACTTGCAGTTCAATGGATCAAATGTGCAGAGTTTGCATGGGAAAGTATGGAGCATTCACAAGCATATTCGACGAGCCACAAATATGGGACACTTCCATTGCTGACATGATATCGGAGTGTACAGGATACGTGGTGAGGCGAGGCGATTCACTACCAGAAAGCATATGTCCGCCTTGCCTTGAGGATGCAGTGAGTGCATTCAATCTTAAGACCACCTGCGAGCAGAGCCATAAATTGACGGACGAGTTTAAAGAAGAAGAAATCTGTGATAATGTCGAAGGCGAGGACTGGGAACCATCAGATTACGGAAGCGAACAGTCAAACAAAATTGAAGCTGATGCAAAGACTCAAGTTGAGAAGGATGCCGATCTTTTGTTCAAATGTACTCTTTGTCCAAAGAGCTATCGGCATAAGTCGAATCTAAACCGGCACATGAAATTGCATACGGGTGAACGCCCCTATCAATGCTCACACTGCTCAAAGACCTTCCAATCTACTTTCATTCTTAAATCACACATCCGTATTCACACAGGTGACCGGCCATATCACTGCTCTTTCTGCTCAAAGTCATTTATTCGAAAAGTCCAACTCACCGAACACCTCCGTTCTCACACGGTGGAGCGACCATACAAGTGTTCTAACTGTTCGAAAGGTTTTTCGAGCTCAAGATCTCTGCGGAATCACATCCGTTGTAATACGAAAGAACACTTGCGATCGAGCCAAGGAAGTCTCCAGCTACACATGCGTTGTCATACAGGTGAAGGACCAGCCCTATGCCCCATGCCCCACTGCTGCATGTCCTTTACCCAAAATGCCGAGCTCAAAACACACATCCGCACTCACAGGAGGGAGCGACCATATAAGTGTTCTTACTGTTCGAAAGGTTTTTCGAGCTCTACATATCTCCGGAAGCACATCCTTAGTCATACGGAAGAACGATCGCACCAATGCTCCCACTGCTCGAAGAACTTTAAATCAAAATATGGACTTAGAAGACACATCCGTACACACACGGGGGAGCGACCTTATCCGTGTTCCCAGTGCTCCATGTCCTTTAAGCAACTCGCACATCTTCAAATACACACACGCACCCACACAGGTGAACGACCGTACCAATGCTCTCATTGCTCAAAATCATTTAATCAGAGCATATCACTAAAAAAACACATGCGCACTCACACGAAGAACGATCGTTAAAGTGTCCAAACGCAAAAACAAATGTATTTCTATAATAAAGAAGCATAAGATAATCTATTTTTAGTTGAATCACTAAAAGTTGTCCTTTCTCCCACCGTTTACATTGGTTCAGACGTTGTTTTACATGGTAGGAATTCGTTCCTCCTATCAGTACTCCGGTTCATTGTGCAATTCAATGTGCAGTTGATCTCTTTCGGTATTCCTGCTCACAAAGTAAAAGTTAAATTAATATTATTATGTATACAAACTATTGCAATATAACATAAATTATGTCGATAGCACATCGACATTTCTCGCGCCTAACAGCACTTTTTATTTCTATTGAGCCTAACAGCGTTTATCATATCTTTTAAGAACAAAACAAACCATTTCGGGGCACAAAATAATAATACATTTGTTGACAAGCGCATCGGATTGCATATAAAATGAACAATGGAAACCCAAATATAGTATTTAATCCTCTGATCAGTTGCATACAGAAGGTAGTGCTTTATGAGACTCGCACAGTAATTTCTCGCGCCTAACAGCACTTAAATAAAGATAACTCGGATTGTCGCAAATAGTATACAAAACTCTTGAAAACAAACCATTTCGGGGCAAAAAATAATAATACATTTGTTGACAAGCGCATCGGATTGCATATAAAATGAACAATGGAAACCCAAATATAGTATTTAATCCTCTGATCAGTTGCATACAGAAGGTAGTGCTTTATGAGACTCGCACAGTAAGTAGTTGCCACATGAAAAAAATACTTTATTTGTTTAACTCTTCGTGTTTCAGCGATTGTATTTGGTGGGCAGTAACAACCGCGAGACGAGATTTCGGTTGCTCACAATCGATCGGCTGGCGCACAATCGTTTGAGTATTGAGGAAAATGCCAATGAGTTCAATAATTTGGAAATTAGACGCTTTGTGGCTTCCCTCACGGGCTCGCCCAAGGTGACATCAGCCTATGGAGTGCTGGGCTTTGTCAGATTCCTCGAGGGATACTATCTGATACTGGTGACCAAGAGAAAGTGTTGCGCCTTCATTGGAAACCATTTGGTCTACACCATTAAGGACACTGTTATGGTACGTGTGAACGAAGTGACATCCCAGCGGCCACCACATCCACACGAGGATCGCTACAAGAAAATGTTTCAGAACATCGACCTGCGTAGCAACTTTTATTTCTCATATTCATATGATCTGACACGAACGCTGCAGTATAATGAGTCGGCGCCGCGCTTTGTGGGAGCCAAGGTGGACCTGGATCGGGACGAGCCACTACCCGACTGGAACACACTGACTAACAACGTGGCGCAGATTAATGAGCGTGTGGACTATGCATTTCGAAGCGATTCCCGCAAGCGTTTTGTATGGAATGCCTATCTGCTGCAACCAATGGAGGGTATAATGCTGAAGGACTGGCTGCTGGAGGTCATCCACGGATTTGTTAGTCAATCGTGCATCAGCATCTTTGGGCGGCATGTAAATGTCTGCCTCATAGCGCGTCGCAGTACACGCTTTGCGGGAACTCGCTTCCTCAAGCGTGGTGCAAACTTTCAGGGCGATGTAGCCAATGAAGTGGAAACGGAGCAAATTGTAAGCGACGGTCAGCGTCTATGTGCGTTCACGCAAATGCGTGGATCTATACCATCCCACTGGTCGCAGGACATCAGCAAAATGGTTCCCAAGCCACAGATACAGGTGGTGATCAGTGATCCCTATGCTCAGACTCCCTCGCGGCATTTTGAGCGGCTACTTTTCCACTATGGGGCGCCATTAATAATGTTGAACCTGGTTAAGAAGCGAGAGCGCCGGAAGCACGAGTCTATCATCTCCAAGGAACTTGAGTATAGCATTCGCTACCTAAATCAGTTTCTTCCGCCGTCACATCGTATGAAGCACATACACTTCGATATGGCCCGTCAGAGCCGACTGAGTGGTGGAAACGTCATGGAGCAGTTGGCCATATACGCAGAAAGTGTGATTCAATTAACGAATATGTTCTTTAAAGCTCGAGGCAGTGATCTCAGCCTGCAGACGGGCATTGTACGCACGAATTGCGTGGACTGCTTGGACCGAACTAACTCGGCTCAGTTTGCCATTGGCAAGTGTGCTCTGGGACACCAACTGGAGAGATTGGGCTTTCTGAAGTCGGCCAAGCTGGAGTTTGACTCTGACTGTGTAACGATGCTGGAGCATTTGTACGAGGAGCATGGTGATACTCTAGCCTTGCAGTACGGGGGCTCTCAGCTGGTGCATAGGATAAAGACATATCGAAAGACTGCTGCCTGGGGCTCCCAAGGCAACGATGTGATGCAGACCCTCAGTCGCTACTACAGCAACACATTTAGCGACACTGAAAAGCAGCACAGCATCAATCTCTTTCTTGGCATTTACAAGCCTAGCCTCACCAAATGTGAGTACATATATAATTTAGTACAGTTTCACATTGAATTGATTTTGTTTTTAATCTAGTGACTCAACCTATATGGGAGCTACAAACCGACTACGATATGCACAATGACTTTGTGCCCAGCACTGATAGCAAACAGATCACCGATTGGGTTCGTCATAAGGTACGGGAGTGCTTGCCATACTCGTGCGCCGATTCGAACAAGCTCGTTAAGGAGCTATTCCGCGTACACAGCAATGGCTTGGAGATGATCGATGGCTACTCGAATTACCATCAATCCTTCAAGTGGACTGACCTTAGCGAGCACATTGCCTTTGAGATCAGCCAGCTGGCAATGCGCTTTATGCCCACATTCCGCACCAACTACAGTCCGTTTCAGAGACAGATTCAGACGTCACGAAAAGCTCGTCAAAATCCCTCGATGACTGGTCAAAGTTCCACGGGTTCGACGAACAGCAACTCTTCAAGCTCTAGTGAAGGCGATGACAGCTCCAGCGATGAGGAGCTTAGTGCCAGTTTTGCAGAGAAAGAGGCCAAGCAAACAGAATCGGCTGAGCCGGCTGCTATAACGCTGGCTTCGGTGCTTCCTTCAATGGAACAGGTCTACGGCTGCAGCATTAATCCGCCCTCCAAGCAGAGCATGGCCATTTATAAGAAGTACGTGCAAATGGGAAAACTGTCGAGTGGAGGAGCTCGGCCTGCTCAGACATCCGTTGCCCAACGCGACCAGGAACTCGCTAAGATAATGAGGGGCATCACACTGCGGCCGCTGAGCAACTATGGCACAGACTCGTACCTAAGTGTGCGTCCACCGACCGTTGCAAGCAAGAGTCAGGATATCTATAGAGAGTATTGTAAAACACCGCGCAACTTCAATGCCGTGCCCAAGTTTGAAGAGTTCGATGTGCTCTATCGATATTTACAGAAGCTCTAAAAGCTGCAAATTATTATTGTTTCATTTTCATACATATGATGTGTATTCCCAAAAGTATTTGTTGATTGTCTACTGATTAAATACGTCATCATTTCGGCGATATATATATTAATTTTTGCATTGTGTGTGATACAACAAACAGTTTTATTTTTCTTCGGTCTTGCACACAACAGACAATTTAAATGAATATAATATATTCAAAACATTTCACCTATTTCATTCGATAGCACGTTTCTGGCGATACCTCTCGCGCCTAACAGAACCTTTCTTTTTTTCACATTTCGCGTCTAACAGCTCAATTTGTTATGTTTGGATATCAAAACAAACTGATTCGGGCCAAAGTGTCGTCCATTCTGCATATTTTGCAAACTCAGAAAAGCGGTATAAGGTGGTTCGTTGTTTGTTTTATATTCGTTGCATTCCCGCACGGTAAGCCTCATTTACTTGCAGGGCAATGAATGAAATATGCAGAGTTTGCATGGGAACGGCTGGATCATTTACAAACATATTCGACGAGCCTCAAAAATGGGACACTTGTATTGCTGACATGATATCGGAGTGTACCGGGTACGACGTTAGCCGAGGCGATTTACTATCACAAAATATATGTCCGCCTTGCCTTGAGGATGCCGTGAGTGCATTCAATCTTAAGACCACCTGCGAGCAGAGCCATAAACTCTATATCCCCGGAATGGAAGAGGTCCTCTGTGAAAATCGTGACGACGAGAGCTGGAATGAAATAGTTCACACAGATGTAAAGGAAGTCGATCTTCTATTTAGTTGTCCCCATTGCTCGAAGCAGTACACGCATAGAAGCAACTTATACAGACACCTCAAATTCCATACCGGAGACCGACCCTACAAGTGCTGCGAGTGCTCAAAGTCGTTTATACAAAAAAGCGAACTGGAAGTGCACATCCGTATTCACACGGGCGAGCGACCGTATGAGTGTACTCATTGCTCGAAGACCTTTAAGCAGAACTCCCATCTTCAAATACACATTCGCACCCACACGGGAGAGCGGCCCCACCAATGCGCCCAATGCTCAAAGTCATTTCAGGAACTGTCCCACTTAAAAGTGCACAGCCGAACTCATACGGGAGAGCGACCGTATATATGCTCTCATTGCCCCAAGTCTTTCTCCCATGCCGGAACACTCAGGGATCATATTCTTTTGCATACCGGCGAAAGACCATACCAATGTCCACACTGCTCTATGTCTTTCGCCCAGAAATCGGAGCTGCAAGTGCACATTCGATCTCACACGGGAGAGCGACCGTTTAAGTGTTCTCAATGCCCCAAGTCCTTTGCCCGAGCCGCATGTCTCCGGGCTCATATCCGTTTGCACTCTGGCGAACGACCCTACCAATGTTCCCACTGCCCAAAGTCCTTTACACAAAAATCCAATCATGATACACACACACGTACTCACACGGTGGACCGAGCCTTTCAATGTTCCTACTGCCCAAAGTCCTTTATAAAAAGTTCCGATCTCCAAGCACACATTTGTACTCACACTGGGGAGCATCCGTACAAGTGCTCCTTCTGCTCAAAGGGATTTATTCACAATTCGTCTTTGAAAAGACACACCCTCACTCATACGGAAGAAGAGCGTTCAAGGGTACCCGATGCTTAAATTCGTTTCTGCATTTCGTCATTCGACGAGCTGACATCCCTAACAGTCCTGAAGTAAAGTATGGCATGGCACTACGAGCTCTTGCACTGCAGATCGAGATCTCTAGGATTTTTGAACTTGCCGACAGAGGTAAGAACGAGCAATGTGGGATCGATCACTACTTCAAACACAGAACACTTTTCAGCCCACTACGAGTGAATAAGTGCAACTCTTCAAAAGGGGGAACAATGCAATTTCACTGACGAAACAACTGAAATGTGTACATACATAAAATATGTATTTTATTTAATTAAAAATTTACTCAATGTTTTGTTCTTGAACTTTAGACCAAAGCATCAAGAAATCGAACAGGAGCGTAACTAACTTATTATGTTATCCGGAAGCTGAACCATTAAAGAAATCCGTCACAGGATGGTATAAAAATGTAGCTAAAAGCATATACAACATTTTATTAAATATGAATATCATTTCGCATTATTACTAGGCCCCATGAGTTGTTCTTGTGCACAGTTCAAGATCTTCCTACCATCAGTCCTATGGTGGACTGCAGGCGTGGAATTTAGTTTGTGGTTTATCTCTATTGCACCTATTTAATTCGATAACACGTTCCCACCGATAACATTCGCGCCTAACAGCACCTTTAGTTTGTTGCTCTCTTCGCGTCTATCAGCTCAATTTCTTATGTTTTGTGTCAAAGCAAACCATTCGGACCAAAGAACCATAAATTCTGCATTCAGAAAATTCAGAAAAGCGGCACAGGGTGGTTCGTTGTTTGTTTTATATTCATTGCTTTCCTAAACTTTATTACACGTCCTTTATTCCGTTTACTTGCAGGGCAATGGAAGAAATGTGCAGAGTTTGCAAGGGATCGTCTGAATCATTCACAAACATATTCGACGAGCCACAAAACTGGGACACTTGCATTGCTGACATGATAGCTCAGTGCACCGGGTACGAGGTTAGCCGAGGAGATTTACTATCAGAGAATATATGTCCGCCCTGCCTTGAGGAGGCAGTGAGTGCATTCAATCTTAAGACAACTTGCGAGCAGAGCTATAAATTGATGGAGGAGTCTAAAGAAGCAGAAATCTTTTATATTGTGGAATACGAGGACTGGGAACCATCAGATTGCAGAAGCGAGCAGTCAAACAATATTGAAACCGACGCACAGGCAAAAGGTGGCCGTCCTTTCAAATGTCCTCTCTGTCCAAAGAGCTATTCGCAGAGAAGTAGTCTAAATAAACATATACTTCTACACACGGGTGAACGACCCTATAAATGCTCCCATTGCTTAAAGTCCTTTCATTTTAGTTCCCATCTGAGTGAACACATTCGTTCACACCAGGTGGATCCACCCTTTATATGTACATACTGCTCAAAGTCATATGAACATTCCAATTCTCTTAGAAAACACATAAAAATGTCTCACGCGTAGAATGATAGTTACACAACAAAAACCTATATACACACATAAGTATAAGTAAATGTATTTTCCTATTCAATCTCTGCATAAGTTTACTTTCGTGAGCCAGCTGAAGAACGACTCTTCTAAGTGGCTCTACTTCTTTTCCTCCCAAGTTTACTCTAGCTGTCCTTTTTTCTTTGGGTATAAATTAAATAATCTAGCATCTAAGATTAAAAATAACTATATCTGCTAAAATACAAATAAAAAAGAAAAGTTAAATAAATAAGTATTATTTATTCTTTTTTGTTTGGTATTTAATCCCTACACCGAGATTTTATGGTGGCACGACGATGAGTCCGCATTGACCAGGTACTTCAGTTCGATGATAGGGCTGTCGATATGTTTTTGACTATCGATGGTGGTTCATGATTCATATTCAGAACAATTCAATAAAGTATTTAATTCGATAGCAAATCAATAAGTATCGCGGCTAACATCGCATCTTGTGGATTTTTCGTTTTGCGCCTAACAGCTCTATTTCTTATGTTTTGTGTCAAAACAAACTTATTCAGGCCTAAGAACCAAAAATTCTGCATGTTTGGAAATTCAGAAGAGCGGCACAAGGTAGTTCGTTGTTTGTTTTATATTCATTGCTTTCGTAAACTTTATTACACGTCCTTTATTCCGTTTACTTGCAGGGCAATGGAAGAAATGTGCAGAGTTTGCAAGGGATCGTCTGAATCATTCACAAACATATTCGACGAGAAACAAAACTGGGACACTTGCATTGCTGACATGATAGCTCAGTGCACCGGGTACGAGGTTAGCCGAGGAGATTTACTATCAGAAAATATATGTCCGCCCTGCCTTGAGGAGGCAGTGAGTGCATTCAATCTTAAGACAACTTGCGAGCAGAGCTATAAATTGATGGAGGAGTCTAAAGAAGCAGAAATCTTTTATATTGTGGAATACGAGGACTGGGAACCATCAGATTGCAGAAGCGAGCAGTCAAACAATATTGAAACCGACGCACAGGCAAAAGGTTGCCCTAAGTTAAAATGTCCTCTTTGTCCAAAGAGCTATTCGCACAGAAGTGGTCTAAATAGACATATGCTTGTACACACGGGTGAACGACCCTATAAATGCTCCCATTGCTTAAAGTCCTTCCATTTTAGTTTCCATCTGAGTGAACACATCCGTTCACACCAGGTGGATCCACCCTTTATATGTACATACTGCTCAAAGTCATATGAACATTCCAATTCTCTTAGAAAACACATAAAAATGTCTCACGCGTAGAATGATAGTTACAAAACAAAAACCTATATACACACATAAGTATAAGTAAATGTATTTTCCTATTCAATCTCAGCATGAGTTCACTTTCGTGAGCCAGCTGAAGAACGACTCTTCTAAGTGGCTCTACTTCTTTTCCTCCCAAGTTTACTCTAGCTGTCCTTTTTTCTTTGGGTATAAATTAAATAATCTAGCATCTAAGATTAAAAATAACTATATCTGCTAAAATACAAATAAAAAAGAAAAGTTAATAAATAAGTATTATTTATTCTTTTTTGTTTGGTATTTAATCCCTACACCGAGATTTTATGGTAGCACGACGATGAGTCCGCATTGACCAGATACTTCATTTCGATGATAGGGCTGTCGATATGTTTTTGACTATCGATGGTGGTTCATGACGCCATGCATGGTGTTGCATTGGAATGTTCTTATAACTTAAAAAATATGATGCTCAGTTTAAAGTGTGGTCGTGTGTAAGAGATTATTTTATTTATTCAGAACAATTCAATAAAGCATTTAATTCGATAGCAAATAAATAAGAATCGCGGCTACCATCGCATCTTGTGGATTTCTCGTTTTGCGCCTAACAGCTCTATTTCTTATGTTTTGTGTCAAAACAAACTAATTCAGGCCTAAGAACCATAAATTCTGCATGTTTGGAAATTCAGAAGAGCGGCACAAGGTAGTTCGTTGTTTGTTTTATATTCATTGCTTTCGTAAACTTTATTACACGTCCTTTATTCCGTTTACTTGCAGGGCAATGGAAGAAATGTGCAGAGTTTGCAAGGGATCGTCTGAATCATTCACAAACATATTCGACGAGCCACAAAACTGGGACACTTGCATTGCTGACATGATAGCTCAGTGCACCGGGTACGAGGTTAGCCGAGGAGATTTACTATCAGAAAATATATGTCCGCCCTGCCTTGAGGAGGCAGTGAGTGCATTCAATCTTAAGACAACTTGCGAGCAGAGCTATAAATTGATGGAGGAGTCTAAAGAAGCAGAAATATTTTATATTGTGGAATACGAGGACTGGGAACCATCAGATTGCAGAAGCGAGCAGTCTAACAATATTGAAACCGACGCACAGGCAAAAGGTTGCCCTAAGTTCAAATGTCCTCTTTGTCCAAGGAGCGTTGCGCAGAGAAGTCTAAAGAAACATATTGAACTACACACGGGTGGACGACCCTATAAATGCTACAAGTGCTCACAGTCCTTCCACTTTAGTTACCATCTGAGTGAACACATGAGTATACACTCGGTGGATCCACCCTTTAAATGTACATACTGCTCAAAGGCATATGAACATTCCAATTCTCTTAGAAAACACATAAAAAAGGCTCACGAGTAGAATGATAGTTACAAAACAAAAACCTATATACACACATAAGTATAAGTAAATGTATTTTCCTATTCAATCTCAGCATGAGTTCACTTTCGTGAGCCAGCTGAAGAACGACTCTTCTAAGTGGCTCTACTTCTTTTTCTCCCAAGTTTACTCCAGATAGTCCTTATTTCTTTGGGTATAAAATATATAATCTAGCATCTAAGATAAAAAATAACTATAGCTGCTAAAATAAAAATCCTGCGGTAGAAAAGGTTAATAACTAACTCGCATCTTGTGGATTTTTCATTTTGCGTCTAACAGCTCTATTTCTTATTTTTTGTGTCAAAACAAACTAATTCGGGCTAAAGAACCATCAATTCTGCATATTTGCCAATTCAGAAAAGCCGCACAAGCCCAAGGTGGTTCGTTGTTTGTTTTATTTTCGTCGCATTCGAATCTAATATTGCTCTTAAAATCGTCGAGTACCGTGGTATATAAACCTCGACTCGGTGTCTTGCCCACTTTTATAACTTGTAATCGGCTAGATTAATTAATCTGCTAGATGTAGGCGAACATCTGCAAGCCGGTCAAGAATTTACTCCTCAAGGCCAAACGGCATTTCATGGAGCCATCGAGTTTGCACATCCGAGCTGTACTCCTCTAGGGCTTTTGGGTGTTCTGAAAGAGCCCCTTGAAGTGCTGCCGATTTAAGAGCTTCTGTAGCATTGACACTACATTTCGGTGTATGGCAGCATTTCGTTGTCTGGCCAGCGTGTGAAACGGTTGAAGCAGTTTCCCCATTGCCCCCCAAAGAAACACAACATTTTAAACAGTATAAAATTAGTAATATATTTGTTGTTTACAGAGTGGAATGTAATTGGGGGAATACATTCGATAACACAACATATGTTTTCACTCGACTAGATTTGTTTGGCGCTTAACAGCCCATTTCGTGCAATGATTTTCTCTAAAAGAAACAAACCACGCAAAGGAATCATTAAAAATTCAAATCAGAAACACTACATTTCGTTGGTTGTGGGTTTGATTCTACTCATTTGACATGTAGATTTCATTCATTAATATTCATTTACTTATAGGACTATGGAGGAAACATGCAGAGTTTGCATGGCAAGGTCCGTCGCATTCACAAACATTTTCGACGAGCTACAAACATTGGACACTTGCATTGCTGACATGATATCGGAGTGCACAGGATACGCGGTTAGGCGAGGTGATTTACTATCAGAAAAAATATGTCTGCATTGCCTTGAGGATGCAGTGAGTGCATTCAATCTGAAGAAATCCTGCGAACAGAGCCATAAACAATACTTTACCCTGACTGTGGAGGATAGGGAAGAAGGCATATGCGATAATGTAAAAGACGTAGTCTGGGAACTGTCCGAAAGAGAAAATGCGCGATCGAAATGTTTCGGAACCGCTGCAAAGTTCCACATAAATTTTGCCACTGAATCGGAGCGACAGCAAAGGTCTTTTCTAGGAGTCTCGACGGCTTCGCTCCACCCTCACATGAACGAACGTACTAACTCAGGAGACGGACCACACCAGTCCGAGCTCAACGAACACACCTGTATTCCCACTGTGGAGATGCCGCATAAGTGTCCTCACTGCTCAAAATCATTTGGTCGATCCGATAGTCTCCGGATTCATGTCCGGTCGCACACGGGTGAACGACCTTACCAATGTCCTCACTGCTACAGATCTTTTAATAAGGAAGAACCTCTACAAATTCACATTTCTACCCATAATGGTGAACGACCGTTCAAATGCTCTCTCTGCTCCCAGTCGTTTCACCAAAAATCTCATCTCCGAGAACACAGCCGTCTTCACACTGGCGAACGAACTCATACGTGTTCATACTGCCCAAAGTCCTTTACAAAAAAATCCAAACTTGATAGACACACTCTTACTCACACAGATGAACGACCTTTTCGATGCGCTCAGTGCTCGAAGTCATTTCAAGAAAAATCGAATCTCCGGGTACACTTCCGTTCTCACACTGGGGAGCGTCCTTATCAGTGCACCCACTGCCCCAAGAAATTTCGATACAAAAACAATAGCTACCAGAGACACCTACTTAGTCACACAAGCAATGAAAAGTGGGCGATTCCGGGGCTCAAGATCACATCCGTAAGATCGCTGGAAAATGAAACGATTGCTTCTACTGCATACCGAAATTCTTAAGTTTGTTTTTATACCACTTAAAGTACTCAAAGCGGGGTATATCAAATTTGTGCTGGATATATATTTTTGTAACGCACAAAGGAAAACGTTACACATATTCTTTATCGGAATCAATAGCCAAGTCGATATGGCTAAAAATCACGTTACTAACTACCGGGTATAATAGGAGAAACGTCGATTTTGAAGTGTCTCACAACGTTCCTCCTCTTTGAACATAATATTTGTATAATCAATTATTTCTGATATCACCGATACTGTGACTTTTACATATTTAACGTACTTTTGTGCGTAGAGTCGAAATATTTGTCGAAGTAAGTAACAAGATGTTGAGAAATGTCCACAATTGTGTATTGAATGTTATAAAACAGTTTCAAATGTTAATTCCAATAAAATATAATATATAAGGAAATTAATGTTTCATTTGTAAGGTCAATATGAGATTTATTTTGACGACAATACATATGTATAAACACATTCAGAGCTGGGAATGGCCGATGTGGTCTGAATTCTTATCTAATTTAGCTGAGCAATGTAGAAAGTTATTTGTAGAAGCAAATCAAATCAAATCTAACTAAAAACTAATTAGATGAGTACCCATACTTGAACTTCCGATAGCACAACATATGTTTTCATTCGATTAGATGAGTTTTGCGCTTAACAGCCCGTTTCGTGCAACAATCTCAAAACAAAACAAATCACGCAAAATAATTATGAGATGTAAGCATCTCTCATTCATTTATTTGAATGTTCATTTAATCAATCTATTTAATTTTCCATCAGGTGAATCTTTTGAACTCGCTTCTATACCCTGGGGGGACCCATTTATAATATCAGGAATATTTTAACACATTGGACTTCAACGTCGATGGAATCCAAGGAATACGTAAACATGTTTACGGGGCGATCATTGAGGCCATTGGAGATCAGGGTGGATCAGTGGGAAATAATTTAATAAAATAAAATGAAATACAAACAATTTGTACATGAAACAGGGAAACTACATTGAAATGGTTGGCTCATGGGCTATGGTGGCCCATACGGACTAGTCGGATTGCTGCTCCTCGACTGGTCTTAAGAACCACAGGGTAAACATAATCAAACAGAATGATAGTTGTTCAAGACAATGTCGATAATTTAATTAGCTTTAGTTAATCCTGGAAAGTCGCGTAAATGATTCATTAAAAATACTTAGAAATTGCATTCATTTAAACAGGATACTCGTGCCAATCGTGGTTTTCTATTTTCCGTTCTTCTCATCTGTTGCATTTGGTGGTGGCTCTGAGTGAACCTTGGACTGATATTTGTACTCCGAGTGGGAACCGTGGGGGCCCGTGGTCGAGGCCTGCATAGCATTGTATCCGGACTTTTGTCCCAAATGATGCAGGTGGCTGGTTGTGGGCTTGTACACGGTGGCCAGCTCCTGGGCCAGCATATACTGCTCCTGTTCCGGATAGTCGTGCTCGCAGTGATGTTCGCCACAGATCTTGCACTCATAGATATTGGGTCGCAGCGTGTTCCGGATGCGCTATTAAATGGAATATGCACACTTTTAGTGACGGGACGCTTACAGATAAATGAGAATTAAATCACTTACATCCCAAAAGCTGTCCCCGCTGGTCCGCATGAAGTTGATTATCGCATACCCCGGAATGCAGACCAGCGAGAAAGATGCGAACATCCATCCAATGCCATAGGCCCAGTCCGGATATGTGTATCTCCCATTATGATACGTTGGCTCGCGGTAGTTGATGAGACTTAGCACCCAAATTGCCTACGAAAAGAGACAAGGCATCAAGAAATGAGACGTTGTTCTGTTACTTCAATAACAAAAGGATAACATACAAAGAGCAGGCAGGGTCCCAGCACTAGCCAACAGGATCTTAGATAGAAGGATGGAGCCTTGCCGGTCATCTGTTTAACATTCTTCGACAATCGTCCGGTGCCGTAGAACCAGGCAATGGCAATCATTTGGCAGAAGGCCAGAAACATAATTGTCACGGAGGCGGCATAGTGGTCCATCAGCTGGAAGTAGTAGATTCCGCCCTGTATGATGTTCGGCATACCGAAGAGGCACGATATAACGCAGACAAAGAGCACGACTATTTCGTGGTAGCCCAGGTGCCGTTTAATCCAACGCGGAAAGCCATCCTGTATCGAGGTGACCACCACTTCGACAATGGCAAACTGAGAGTTCAGGCCCAGGCAGAGCAGCATGAAGAAGAACATAACCGCCCACAGCTGGGCGTACGGCATCTTGGCCATGGCCTGTGGATATACCACAAATATCATGCCCGGTCCATCGCCAATGACGTCCCGCACATTGGTGTTCTGCTCCAGCGCCAAATTGCCCAAAGTGGAGAAGGCGAATATGCCGACCAGCAGGCTGGTTATCATATTCACAGCACTCACTGCGATCGTGTCGCGGAGTATGTTGTTGTTGTACTTGTTGTAGCTGGCAAAGGAGATCATGGATCCGAAGGTAATGCCCAGCGAATTGAAGTTCTGGGAGGCGGCATTGATCCACACATTGGCATTCTTCAGCTCTGACCACTTCGGGCGGAAGAAGTAGCGCAGTCCCTCGGCCGCCCCATCGAGCGTCACGGCCCGTACCATGAGTATGATGATGAGCACAAACGGAAATGTGGCCGTGAAGTAGCGCACCTTGGCCGACGACTTGATTGACTTCCACGTGGCAAAGTACACCATCAGCCAGGCGCAAATAAGACAAGCGAACAGCTCCCAGCGCATCATTCCCGGATATTCCAGTCCACCGCTAATCTGCAGAACCTTATTTCTGCAGAAAGAGTTATAGAAGAATCTTAGTAGAATTGTCAATTGAGACAATGTATTCAATTACTCAAAGAACTCCTCAGAGGGTGTGCGTGATGTGTCCGGTGCACTGGCATTGAGTTCCTTGCGTTGCGGCACCCAACAGTCCGGTGTATTCCATCTGAAATGTACATTTGGTCCAATTGTCTATGGCATTGTCCTGCTAGGCTAACCCACCTGTTGTTGCAGTCAATCCAGGGCATCTGCGTTTTAAATGACGTAAAGAAGTAGTAAATGGAATAACCTATGATGACGCTATAGTATGTGGACATGAGGAACGAGACGACCACACTAGCAAGTCCAGCTCCTGCAATTGTTGAGAAATTGAAGAATAAATTATGGATGGCTATAGATAATTTCTACTTAAAGTCATCCATTTTCGGCAACACCTTTGTTTGGGTTGTAATGCCATTGAATGAGCCGCCATTGTGCTGTGCGAAAAAGTATTCCTTACTCGTACAGCAGCAAATCCGACCGGTTTCATTTGAAACCACATGTCTAGATTGTAAACCCTAGACTGGAATTCATATGCATAATTTGCCGTTCATTCTGTTCGCCACAGCGACAATTGGATGGATTTCCAGCCACTCGCGAATCTTTGTTAAGTAGTTTTACACATTATTAATATTTATTATCTTGGCTCTGCCTTTGGGCCTGCGAGTGGGGGTGTCGGCAACCAACGCTGCAGCTTGTTTCAAAATATTGACAATAATTAAGCGTTTTGTAAAGTTGTTTTCCAGATTTATGACTCTACTGACAACCTCAGCCTTGGGCGCAGTCCGAGTGTGTAGGCTTTAGAACCGGCAGCAGGGAACAGGGCACAGGGGAGCCGGGACTTGGGAGCTTGCTTCCGCGACTCACATTTTCACGCCACTGTCACAATGACAACAATGAATCCGGCTAATTGGTTTCCGTCCGTATGCAACTGGAGCACACCATGGGGTAACTCACACATCCATGAGCATGCGAGTACATGTATATTTTGTTACTTTAAACGACCTTGGCAATGGATCTGACCAAGGTAGCTACACTTTCCAGCTTGTCATGGTAGGATGGGTAGCCAGACCTCACACTCATTTTCCCATTGTTTTCCTGCCCAATTCATGAAACTAGAAACTTTTCACAAATGACGCAATGAATTTTATCCTCTTTACACTCTTTTATCTTTTAGTTCGAGTTTGCTCTAAAAATAACAAACATTTAGTTAGCCGATTACCCGGCCTAAAATCTTGGCAAAAATGTAAAGCATCTCTTGTCTATCTCTTGTCATCACCCACAAATATAAACATAGCCTAGGTCTTAATTTGCCTTTCGTTTTATTAATAACTTACCTTTGAACAAAGGACACAGTTGACCCAGGGCCCCAATTGGTCCACGGCCAGTGTACTGGCCCACAGACAGCTCCATGAATAGCAGCGGAATACTGCATATGAACAATATTATGCAATAGGGCACTAGAAAGACACCTGGAAATGGCAAAAATAGATATGGCTCTGAATGTACAAACGTATGCAAAAGTGTGCACAAATGTGACAGCAGCTAAGTAAATAAATTGAATTAATTATAAATATTTGACATCCACAACTGCAAATTGCATAAGGCCACACGTATCTGTATAAATATCTATACGCTTCTCCCTACTTTTCCATCATTATCAAGAGATCATCTTGTGCTCATTATACACGTAAATGGGGCAGCAGGTCCGAGTCCGAGTCTGGGTCCGAGACAGAATCCGAGTGACGAAAGTAAATGAAGATGGACGCGGGTCTCCAAGCGACTCGCGTGTTCATACGCCATGGATGGTGGGAGGGAGGAAGGAAAGACGTTGTCCAGATGATGACAGTGACCGCTTTATTTTAAATTTTAATTTATGGCTTTTAAACGTTGGAGCGGAAATGCCGCTTAAAGCGCAAAATTGTCAAATGCTTTTAGAGCAACTAAAAGTTCTTCTTGTCGCACGAAATCAAAGTAACTATCTGCCTTATCACATGAGCGGCGGCACTCTTGGAGTGAATTCTTTATGAATTACGAGCACAATCCGTACAGACATTGATCCAAATTGGAATTCTATGTGTAAGTTGATCCCACTTACCACCGCCACTTTTGTAGCACATGTAAGGAAAACGCCAGACATTGCCCAGCCCCACCGAATATCCGATGCAGGCCAAGACAAACTGCATCTTGTTGGCCCAGTGCTGCTGGCGCGGCTTTAGCTGCACAGCATCGTCGGACATATCCATGTAGCTGTCATCGTCATCGATGCCGAGAGGACTGCAAGAGGCGAGAAGAGTTATTGTAAGTTTTGTGGTGTCATAAGTGCAGCCAGGCGCATCCAATTGATGTCAACCCCTCTCTGATTTAACGAGCACCCAAACAGCAACCGCGATTAGTTGTTGCGTCAAATGGCTTAATTGCAGTAATCACATGCCCCATGCCACAATGGGGGCTGGCCCCGTGAGGTGTTGGTTGCTATGGCATCAGATGTTGGGGCTGGCTGATGTCGAATGGGGAACTGAATGCCGACTGTGTGCCGCGATGCCTGATGTGGGTGGCGATGCATCTCTTTTCCCCCTTTTTCAACTTTCTATCGACTGTAAAAAGTATTCTGGCCACCACAAATCAGACCAGACATTTAATCTGAATCTAAACAAGGTACAAGTATTCATAAGGGATTGCATTGTATTCCATTGTTCAGATCAGCGCTAAAGAGACTATAAACATGCCACTTATCCATTTAATATTCGTTCATATTTAATCAGCGCTTATTCGCTAATGCCATAAGCTAACAAGACGTTTATATAGATAAACATCAAACAGTTGTAGGCATAAGATATGGTGGCCTGATTCGTTTCGGGTTTTACGTAATGATCGATCGATCGATTCTTACACTTTGGCCACACGCTGGAAGCGGAAGGCGGATTGCTCCGAGTGCTTCGATGACTGGGCATCGTAGTCCTGACGATAGGGCATTCTACTACGGACTAACTACGGAACGGATATATGAACTCTGTATATATTCACGTTTATGCGAGTGTAACTTGATGCTTGATGTCCTTAGTTCACGTTATCCATGCGGCCATCACTGTTGGATTTCACACTGCACACGCCAAAGCAAGGACACGTATACGGATTACGGAACTGGGAGAACTGTGCCGTCTGTGGGCTGACTCGTTACTGACTGCTGATCCGTATATTTGGCCGCCAGATTCCAGCCAGCAATCGCTACAATATATTGGAGCACAATGAGGCGTGGTAATTGCTCGAATCAATACAAATATGAATCTATTGATCGCGTTAAGGAACACTGCTTAAAAATAGCTGATGCCCAATGGGGAGGCTGCCTTTGACACGTTTCCAGTGCTATCACATGTCCCCCAGATCAGAGAGATGCCACAATGGTGTTAAAATTCTCTGTTTGCTCCATGGGGCTGTGGCAACATTTGCTTTTTATGCTGAGGTGCCAAATGCTGGCCAAATTTGCCACAAATGTTAGTTCATTTTATCGGCTCCGCTTTGTAATGCTAATGGCCATCTGTATGTGTATTTCTGATAGACAACTTACGGCGGTGTCTGCGGATTGACCATGTCGAACAGCTCGTTGGCGGTAGTCGGCACTCGACGTATGACCAACTTCCGTCCATCTGTGGATCCAATGCCAATGGAGGCGAGGGACCGTACTGATGTCACATCCGAGTAGATCTGATGGGCGGGCAAATCGTGAAATATATAGGAACTGCCGCTCAGCGATGCTTGCGGTTGCATATACAGCGGATTGGGTGAATGCAGCACAGAATTGGCAACCGCAATGCCACCCACAAGATTACCACTGCTGTCATTCAGGGCAGGCATATAACCTAAAGGTTTACAATTTATTCAATTATTATTAAAGCATTAGATAACATTTTAAATTTATTTCGTATTTTTAAAGGAATATTTCCCTTGTGGAAATAATTAATTGTGTTAGAGTTGAGGAATTATAATAATCGTTTCTAAAGCCTTTTTCAAGTACCTGAGATTCAGTAATTTAAAGGAGATTTAAAAAGTCTTTTCCGTTGATTATTAATTATCAAATATAAGTAGTTAGTACTTCAAGTATCGGAATTGAGAGCGTCTGAAACGTACCTGAGGCCACAGAGCGCATGCTGCTGCTGTGGCTGCCGATCCGCGAGCGCAAATCCATGCTTAGCGGCGACATGGCCACTGTGTCACCCGCCATGGTCGTGGTGGTGGTGCAGGTCAGGGTCGCTGGCGTGGGTGAGATGACCGCCGGGCTGTGTGTGTAGTTGGGCAGCTGCTGCTCGCAAGCGCCGGGCTCTCCCTCGCAATCCTCAAGGGTGAAGGTCACCGTGGAGGTGGATGTGGCCGCCGCTGGCGGTGGCTGAGCCATCAGCTGAGGCTGCTGTAAGACCTCCGAGCTGGGTCGCGATTTGATCGACGTCTGTCGTGGCGGCTGCTTGTGTATGGCCGCCGACATGGCAGCCAACGAGGTGGTAGAGCTGGTCTGACGAAATGGCAGTGGACCCACGGGGCTTCCCGGCGTGGCAGTCGCTCCGGCCGTGGCCGGTATGATGATGTACTTATGGGCGCGCGAGGAGGGTGTGCGTAAGAGACGGGTCTGCTCGTCGCCGCCATCGCCACAACTCTCGGCGCCACTGTCCGACAGCTGGCTGTGCCGAAGCGTGGAGCGCTTTGTCACCAGATTGAGGGCGGTGGGTGAGGAGGCTGTCTCCAGACCAATCGCTGCCTCGCTGCTGTCCGCCATGCTGTTTGTTTTTGGTACAGGAATCTGGTCGGGAATCTGCCCCTGCTTGCTTGTTTGTTGCTGCGCAAAATTATAGTTTCTGTTCTTGCCTTTTGTGGGGCTATCATAAAACCATGTTGGACTGCTGCGTCTGCTGATGTTTGCACTGGCTTGCTGGTGCTTCTGCTTTCGTATCTATCATTTTAAAGCTCACAATGCCATCGGCCTGTCCAGCTTTAAATCACAGAGAAAACCCTGAATATAACAATCTTGTTATTGTGGTTCTCTGTGGTGTGTTGGGATTAAGCGAATTCAAATAAATCAGCAGCACACCAGAAATTCACATGGAACAGTTCATGGATTCTCTTTTAAATTTCACCGTTGATATGAGATAACTTTCTTGTAGAACAACTTTTACTATATTATTAGATAAAAAGCTACACAAAATACAACAGAATGAAATGACATAATGAAAGTTTCTTAAGTATTCCCTTGGTCCCATAAATGTGACTGAATTTGTTCACTTGTTGGATGGGAATTTGTATGTACTTTTTATATATTTATTCTTATTTGTTTATATAAATAAACAAAAGCGAAAAGCTGAAGTTTTGGCCCATTTTTATTTAATTTTATCACCGTCAGAGATAAACCTTCACACGAGCTCTCCAAACAGCACTCACACAGACAGCTACTAGCACTTGACTTGACAGATACAAATTTGTATCTTATCGGTAGACTGCGCCCCACAGGAAAGAGTATCTACACCACCCCGCCCCCACACTCTTGGCAGCACCTTATGTGGCAGCATTTCTTTGTCTGCTTTCATTTGATTTAACCATACGAGATATTCTCTGCTTTCCGATTGTCAAATTCAAATATATTTTGAAAGTTTTCATGGATTCAAATGAACAGACGATGCGCGTCATAGGCATGCGATGATCTTTTTGATCTGTTGATTTGCTCTACTGACTTTTCGGTATTCAAGGGTCACTGGATTCGAAGAGAATGGCAAAGCTATGCGGCAATTAATAATTACGCATCTTACACGACAGCACACTCTACTCGTACTCGTATGTGTCGCATATCAAGTATATGACACGCCATGTAGTTTCATTGTAATATCAATAAGCTGGACTGGTCTGGTCTGCTGCCCAAGTTGTATGTAAATTTTCTGACAGAGCACGAGCCACGAATATAAAATATTTAAACTAAGCTTGGAATTTGAAATACTAAGTACATTCGGTTTAGGTGGGGTTTCATTTGTACATAACTGCCAGCCGTAAGCCTCTTAAAAGATCACTTTTGAAAGCATCTGCTGACTTTGTGGATTTATTTTCATCATTTGATTGGATCAATCAATCATTTATGTTACGAGTAGAATATAATGACTTTCTCTGTGGGGGGATTCTCAGTGCCAAAATCATGAGAAAAACCCAATAGTGAGAAATGTTTTGTTAATTGTTGTTTTGTCTAACAATGGCATACAAAAAGTGTCATCCAAAACGTAAGGTTTGATTGGAAATCGTAAACTTTTTATGTACATGGATCTTGTGCATCGTAAAGCAAATGTTCTACGAGTATTCACACTGTCGCTTGTTGGTCTATAAAAAAAATTAGCACTTGAACTTGTTAATGAGAGCTTTGCCCATTCGCCAACTATCAATCGATAGGGCCATATTATACAACTTTTGTTTGTCCAGTTGTCCAAACAGAGAGTGAACAAATGTTTTATTGATCGGTGGTTTGTTGGCAACAAAATAGTAAGCACAATCAAAAACACGAAACACCAAACCGAATTATAATTACACACATTAATTATGATAATCAGAATCAGAATGATTGCAATTGACAATAATAATGGTAATTTCATTCATTTTGTCAACTCAAATAGAATCAACTTTGTAGGGATTCACTTTTCCTGTAGTTTTATTTATTTATTTGCCCCGTTTGTTGCCTAATTTCCACCATAATGCTCGTAATAACATAATCAACACACATTATATGGAATTGTATCAATTACCCGACGACGACAACGACGACGACGACGACTACAGTCGCCCGAAATCAAGTTGGCGGCGCGATATACCCGTAATTTACACTCAATCCGAGTGCCAGGGCGATTGCAATTTTTCGAGTACTTTGAAGCTACAAAAGATACCAAAAAAATGTCGACTAATTTTGTGGGCCCGGCGTATACGCGCTGAATTATGGATTTACCTCCAGACAATGGCCCAGTAAACGTGCCACCACGCGCGCTGTCAAATGTCAACTGATCCCATCCACGTTCGCGAATATCGTTTACACTTTACGCGGTGGACGCGGTGGCGACACCACAATCACTACGATCAGCTCTCTCATTTCCATTCTCTCTCCAAATGGTGCTCGTACTCTTCATGTGTGTGTGGGGGCTCTCCATTATCAAACAAAGATACAACAGCCAGAACAACAGCCAGAAAGCTACCCATAATGGGCATAATGAACTGGGACTGGGTCTGGCAGTGGATGTGGGGATGTGGGGATTGGGGTAAGCGGGTTAAGCTTGGTCTGCGGCTGCCACTCCACTGTCCTCAAATGCTTTTGCATATTAATTTTGATTACGGGTAAACGAGCAAACCAGAAGAAGCTACATAATACAAATTTAATCTCAGAGATACAATTTTTGACACAGATATGATACTCGAGTAATATAAATTCAAAAAAAACATTTTGTGATTTATATTTATTTATTTATTTATTAGTTTACAATAAGCGATTACAATTAATTTCGTTTCATCTTTTTTTGTCGTTTTAAATACAATTCTTTATAATTACAATTGAACTATTGTGTTCTTTTTACAATAAGGGTTTACTTTCTTTTGAATTCTCGATATTTGCTGCCAGTGCAAAAAGTTTTGTCCATTTGGAGCTCATATTTGAAAGCTCTATTCGGATAAAAAGTTATACAGTTGTTAAATTGATTAAAGATAAATAAAAGCGTTTGGTAATTGTGAACATTTTGGGTTATCATTTGAAATAATTAGTGCACTCGCTTAGGTACATCGAAGTGCGCCCATGTGGTTGTGGAATTAAGAAAATAATTTTATGCCTGGCATGGAACGGGTTTAGTTTTGGGATAGGATCAAAGTTGTGGAAACCTATACACAATAATGCGCTACCTAAAATACCATAGAGTTTTGCTGCCTGCGTATTATTTACAATGTCTGTCTCTTTGTGTAAGTGTGTCTGAGTGCGAGTTTTTATATATTTTTATGGTATTTCACTATAAAGAAGTGCTCTTCTGTCTCTCAACGCTTCACGTTCGGCTTAAAGTAGTGACTATACATTTTGTTTACGTTTAATAATATTAATTTAAAACTTCATTTGAATAATTTAATTATCCAGGCTGATCATTCCCCCCTTAATTTTCCTATATTCTAAATGAACTCCCAACAAGTACAGCCACGCTCTATGAACAGGCATCGGAAACTAAAATTCGCTGCATGGTTTCCGGCGCGTAGATAGCCGCGTACTCTACTTAGCGGAAACTTTAGTAGTTGAAGGTGTTGAAGGGGCGGAAGGGCGCACTGGTTCGTTGTCTTTTAAAGTACTCTTTATACTTGGTTCCCTATATATTAGTAAGTTTAGTGGAAGTATCTCTTTTGCATTAAAAACAATCACAACAATTTAATATTAATTGACTAAGAAACTACAAAAATAATTGGTTAACCATAGTAGAGGCTAGTGGTACAGTAAGTACAGTGGTAAGAAGTCGTGGGTGGACAGTGTTCAAAATCAAATCCTCCATTAGTCGTCGTCTTTGCAAATAAAATTAAAACAAACCTAGTATTTCCTATGCATTAAATGGACAGTATGTATCGTTTTTGTGCGCTGTTTGACGCCTCAGTGGCAGTTAAAGGTTATTCCATTTCTTCCTAGAACTCTTTTCCGTGTGCCTCATGCTTAGAGTTTGTGTATCTGAGTGTGTGTGTGTGTGTGTGTTCAACTCTTGAGCTCTTGTACAATCCATAAAAGACAATCGTTGGCATATTGTCGAGTGGTTATAGCTGGCACAAGCGGAAGGTTCAACGATTTCTTACATTCTGCTATAGAGAGAAAGAGTATTCTGTGGTGCATTGTTCGTCTGTGTTGGAAAATCAAGGCAGTTTTCAATTTTAAAAGGCGAGTTGAGTTCACGTTTAAAGTTACAGGAAGTGTGTGTGTTTGTTTCTGTGCTATAATACAAAGTGTCGTTGGTACTACCCACACCCTAAATATTTATAGGAAGTCTTTAGTCATACATATAACAGAATATTAATATTGATACTCGACTAATGAAGAAGTTGTCGTTAGAGGACGAGAATTCGTTTGTAGCTGCACTCTGTGTACCCCCGCTTCTCCTACTTTGGCAGTTTCTGGATCCGCTATTTCTATGTATGCTGGAAGCTAAATACTCTGCTACACTACGCAAAATTCTCATATTAGTGGGGAAGTGAGAGAGAACACTAAATGTTAATACAAAATAATAAAATTATTCTCTTAAACTACTATTATTATCTGCATGCATTTTGTTTGCATACATTTCTCGCTTTTTACAATTTCATTTTTCATTCGTTTTACGGTTCACAAATATACTTTTGTTTTTCTTTGATTCGTTCTTCACATTTTCATTCAAATATCATTCGATTTTGTTTTCATTTTGCACAACTTTTTGCACGTGCCTTTCAAATATTCACATTAATTTATAATTCTGTGAAAATATTACCCTTTTTCTCTGGTTTTTTTTTCTTTTTTTCTTAACTTCTAAGTTGTTACAGCTAGGTTTGTGTGTTTGTTTTATTCAGTGTAGTGTTTAGGAGATGTAGTCCGGCGTTGGCTCGGGCACAGCATCGGGATTGGCAAAGAGCGGATTGGGGAACTCTGGTGGATGTGGCAGTGGTGCAATGGTCTTAGGTCGCCTTCTGTAGGCCATTAGCCAGCAGGAGACGGCCACGGCAACGGCCACAAGAGCCAATAGAGCCGTGATGACCAAAGCAATGATCAGTCCCACCATCGATACGCAAATATCCTCCACTCGCTGTGCCGCCGGTTTGACTAGAGGATAGCAAGAGAAAGGTGAACGGTTAGGGTTTGTAAATGAGAGTGGGGGGCTACTACTCACTGTTGGCATCATTCAGGCCTGGACCGCTGCGCTTCTCGAATGTGAGAATGGCATTTGATGAGATGGTTATCTCCTCGCGCAGCTGACCCTCAACTCCCGAGTTGGTGGCAATGGCAGTCGTGTCGGTCGAGTTGTCTGTTATGGAGCGACGACGACGACCAAAGGCATTGTAGCCACCACAATTGACGGGCTGGCAACGGCCGAAGCAGACGCGTATGTTGCACTGGAATCGTATGTTGTCGCTCGAGGGGAATTTGAAGGCATTGAAGCTGGCCAGCAGACTGTTGGTGTCCGGATTGTATTCCCAGTTGCCAAAGATGCTCGTGTCCGTGGCACAGCCGTTCTCATCTGTGACCAGATACTCGTTCTGGACATTGTCCTCCATGGTCTTTGCAATGCAGGAGCGAGCAAAGCCACCATAAATAGCTGTGAAGAGAAGCAAAGGATTACGATACGGTTGGGAAATGGTTTTGGTTTTAATTATCTTACTGGCTGGCTCGACGTCCACTTGCAGCTTGAGATTGTCGCCGATTTCGGCTGAATTGATCTCCTCGCCCTCGTTGGTGATGATGCGCATCTGGCAGATGGGCGGCGGTCCGGTGTTGGCAATGGTGCCAGCTGTCGTCAGCATTGAGACGTTGAAGCCCAAGGTGACGTTCTTCTCGCCCGTCTGGTAGACGCACTTGATGTTGTATGCCTGGGCCTTGTAGGTGACAAGCTTGGGATGCTTCTGGATGACCAGAACAAAGCTGGCCACATCCTTCACCGCCTGCATGCCACAGGTGCCGAAGTGAACGCGGAAGATTTCGGTGCGTGGCACCGTCTCTCCGTTCAGATTGACGACACGACGGCAGTCCTCATCCTTGCTGTGGCCCTTCACGTACAGGACACCATTGAAGCCGGGCTCGGTGATGTGAATCTCCACTTGAACGCCATCGGCCAGACAGCTGACGACCATGTCGGGTCTGGGGAAGTCGGTGCGGAAGTTGGTGTGATTGCAATGCAGCTCCGGATTGCCCGTGTAGCCCGTTATGCACTGGCACTGGGCACGATGGTTGACGGCATTGCAGAAGGCATTCACTCCGCACACCTTGGTCAGGCAGGGATCCTCACAGGTCTTGGTATCCAGATTGCAGTAACGATTATCCGCGCACTGGTCGTTGGTGGTGCACTCTGGTGGCTCCTCCGGCTGGCACTCTCCTCTGGGAGTCAGGCGGTAGCCCAGCTCAATGGGACAGGTGCAGCGTCCGCGCTCATCGATGACCATGCCGCGCTCTAGAGCGCACACGCAATGGCCGCTCTCGTCGATGCGGAAGCCCTGCTCCACCTGGCACGGTGTGCAGTACTCGTAAATGTCCAGAGCAGTGCCCGGTGGGCACACACACTGTCCATCCACGTCGCGCACAAAGCCCTTTTCGATGACGCAGAGCGATCGCTTGTCGCACTGCACCGCCGCATTGCCGGTGTAGCCCTCGAGGCACTCACAGATCATCGTTCGTACTGGTAGGGTGTCGCGCACGCGGCACTCGGCATTGACGCCGCACGGCTGCGTGGCATTGCACGGATTCACGCACTCTCCACGTAGACACGCCCTCTGGCTGGGGCAGTCGCCGTCGCTGATGCAGATGGGCGCATGCCGCTCTGTCTCGCAGCCATTGCGTCCGGGCACAGTGCCGGCGGGGCAGGCACATTGTGGTCGATGCTGGTACACCTTGCAAACTTCTTCGCGACCACAGATGGCAGTTGTTGCACAGGGATCGTTGCACTTGCCGTTCACACACGCTCTGTCCGTGGGACATTCGTCGTCGGTGCGGCAGCCCAGTGGTGTGCAGCCCAGACGGGCATTGCCACCATGTCCTGGTGCGCACTCACACACGGCCCGATGGTTGATGGCCAGACACTGAGCGTTCGTGCCGCATTGCTCGCCCTGGCAGGCGGGCACGCAGAGTTGGTTGCGGCAGGCATGGGTGCCGGGGCAGTCCGCATTGATGTTGCACTCGATCTTGGAGCACTCGAACTCGGGATTGCCCTCGTAGCCCTGGCGACACGTGCACACTGGCTTGTGGTCCTTGATGCGGCACTCGGCGTTCACGCCGCAGTTGCACGGATCGCGGCATATGCCGTTCAGGCAGGACTTGTCGGCGGCACAGTCAGAGTCCGAGATGCAGCCGCCCACCTTGACGATGCCGGTGGTGGGCTTGCAGCTGCCACTTCCGCTGCTGATGTAGCCATCGGGGCAGATGCAGATCATGGTGCGTACTGGGGACGTGGGCGTCACCTGGCACTGGGCCGGGCGTTGGCAAGGCTCCAGTACGAGGCATGGATCCACGCATTGTTCGTTTATGCAGGCCTGTCGCGAGGGGCAGTCCGTGTCCAGCACGCAGACGGGCTGCGGCTGTGGACGGCAGTCCACGTAGGGATTGCCGACGTAGTCGGACGGACAGCGACAAACAGCCAAGTGATTCTGTGGTCGGCACTCGGCGCGCGGGGCACAGGCATTGTGGTAGACGCAGGGATTGACGCATTGCTCGTTCTGGCAAGTCTTGTCCGTGGGGCAGTCGTTGTTGCTGCTGCAGCCGATGATGCGGCAGCGTTCGTACGGGTTGCCGCGGTACCCGCTGAGGCAGCGGCACTGGGCGTGATTCGACTGGACGAAGCACTCGGCATTGGGTCCGCAGGGATCGTTGATGAGGCAGGGATTGATGCAGTCACCGTTGATGCAGGCCTTGCCCGAATCGCACTCACCATCCACGCGGCAGCCGATCGATCGGCAGGCGGCATAGGGATTGCCCTCGAAGCCATCCTGGCAGCTGCAAACAGCACGATGTTGGGTCACCTGGCAGATGGCATTGGTGCCACAGTTGCAGGGATTGCGGCACTGGCGATGGATGCACGCCTCCTGGTCTGGACAATCCTGGTCGCTCTCACAGCCCGGTGGACTGGCCAGCACCAGTTGACGGCACTCACCACTGGCATCCGGCACCTGGGACTCGGGACACTCGCAGACCATCGTCCGCACCGGTACACTGTCGAGGACACTGCACTGGGCGGTGCGGGCGCAGGGAGAGAGTTCGGTACATGGATTCTGGCACTTGGCATCGATGCAGGCCAGACCGCTGGGACAGTCGCCGTCATCGCGGCACACGGGCTCGACGGGTCGCCTTTCGCAGTAAGCATACGGATTGCCCAGAGGCATTTGCTCCGGACAGCGACAGACGGCGCGATGCTGCAGCGCCTGGCAGATGGCATTTTGGGCGCAGGGATTCTGCAGGCCACATGGGTCCACACACTGGTTGGTCACACAGGCTAGGTTCGAGGCACAATCGTAGTCCGAGTGGCATTCGAGGCGCAAACAACGCACGAATGGATCTCCCTCCAGGCCGGTGGGACAGCGACAATTGGCACGATGATTGCGACCATAGCATTCGGCATTCAAGGCACACGGATCGACCACCAGGCAGGGATTGATGCACTCGCGATTCAAGCACTGCTTGTCGCCACTGCACTCGTCATCCGATTGGCAGCCAATGGCCACGCAACCAAACTGAGCATTGCCAGAGAATCCTGGCTTGCAGTAGCAGATGGGATGATGGTTCTTCACGGTGCACTCGGCATGCGGTCCGCAGTTGCATGGACTGATGCACTGGGTATTGATGCAGGCCTCTGTCACAGGACAATCGCTGCTGGACTTGCAGCCGACAGTAATCACATCGGAAGCTGTACGGAAGATAAGATCTGACATTAGAATCGATTGAGGGTGGCTTATTAGAGCTGTGTACGTACGTGGCAGACAGCGTTCCTTGGGATTGCCCGTGTAGCCTGGTGGGCAGCGGCAAATGGCCTTTCTTTGCTGCACATGGCAGTAGGCACCGATGCCGCAGGCATCCGCAGCACATGGACTCACGCACAATTCATTGCGGCATGTCCTGTCTCTGGGGCAGTCGTCGTCACGCGTACAGCCTGGCTCTGGGCTCTTTGGCAGGCCAATCTCCGTTGAGTAGCACTCGATGCGGGGATTTCCCTGGTAACCAGCGGGACAGCTACACTGAGCATAGTGATCCCGCGAGGTGCACTGGGCGTTGGAGCCGCACTTCTCGAGGCGGCAGGCGTCCACGCAATTGCCATTTGAACACACCTCGGGATTGGCACACTCGGAGCTGTGCTGGCAGCCACCGCTGGGCGGGGCAATGGGTCGCCTAATGGCCACACAGTTGCCCGAATTATCGGTGACCGTGTCGCTGGGACACTTGCAGATCATGGTACGCAGTGGCAGGGTATCGAGCACGGCACAAGTCTGTTGTGGGCTGCACACATGTGGAGTAGCGCAGGGATCGGCACATCGTTCGTTGATGCACGCCAGCTTCGAGGGACACTCGGCATCCTGGGTGCACTCGGGCGACTGTGGTTTTCGCTGCGGCATATCGCACTGAACAAACGGATTGCCCAGGTATCCCGGACGGCACTCGCACTGCGGCTGATGGCGTCGTCCCACACAGATGGCATTCAGAGCACAAGTCTCCTGCTCGCAGACGGGTCGGCAAACGCGGTTAAGCCGGTCGCAGGCCTCGTGAGCGGCGCAATCTTCGTTGTACTGGCAATGACCGGTTATGCAGGCCACGAAGGGACTGCCCTGAGTGCCGGCCGGACAGCTGCAGACAGCTTGGTGATTCTGTGGCAAGCACTCAGCGCCACTGCCGCAGCGCACTTGTCCATGGGTGCAGGGATTGACGCAGTTCTCGTTCAGACAAGCCTTGTCGTAGGGACAATCAGCATTGATTTTGCATTCAGCTGTGGATAAAATAAAGATTTTATAGATTTCGGATCTTGTCAAGGGTTGTTTTCCCACTTACGTTTGTGGCATTGTACTTGCGGATCACCGCCCCAGCCAGCAGGGCAGTAGCAAATGGGACGTGAGTTCTGCACACGACATTCGGCATTGCCGGCACAAGGATTGGCCTCGGCACATGGGTCCTGGCAACGCTTATTGATGCACGCCGTTGTCGGTGTGCATTCCGAGTCGTGTGTGCAACCAGCTGTGATTTGTGCTGCAAAAGGATGATAAAGCCATAAAGAGAATGCCATTTAGAAGGAAACCTTTACTGTGACTTACGTGGCTGATAGCAGTTGGTAAACGGATCTCCTTGGGTGCCTTGTGGGCAGCTGCAGATGGCACGATGCTGCTGGGCCAGGCACTGAGCTGTGCGGGCACATGGTGAGCCATCCAGGCAGGGATTGACACAGTTGCCAGCCCGACAGGCTTCCGTATCCTGGCACTGATCGTGCGATGTGCAGCCAAGGTCTTGAGCGGGTTCTAAATGAGAGAAAAATGCAAAAGATTAGGAGGGCTTCGCTTTTGGGCATGGGTTTTTGCCAAGTGCAAGAGTTAAGAGTTATAGAGTGCTCGAAATAATATTTGTACAACTGCAAAGGTGGTGCAATTATGCTCTAAAGATTGTGTTTATATTCAGGATATATTTTTCAGCACTTTACACACAACTAAAACTCTGCTGCAATGAGATAAAAGCAAACTCAAAAGTAAAGCAAAAGTAATCAATTATCGATCAGAGTGGAACTGGGACCGATGGCTTACCTTTGCGACATCCAATGTCGGCATCACCCACATAGCCAGGCTCACAGCGGCACGTCATGGTGCGCAGGGGCAGTGTGTCGACCACATCGCAGATGGCATTCGCTCCGCACGGATGGGTCACGGCGCAAGGGTTCTTGCACTCGCTGGAGAAGCAGGCCAGCTTGCTGGGACATTCGGCATCCATGGTGCAGCCCTCGGGTTGCACGGGCACCAGGTCACAGCGTATGGTGGGATTGCCACTGAAGCCAGCCGGGCAGCGGCACTGGGCACGATGGTTGTCCACACGACACTGGGCACCTATGCCACAGTTGCATGGATCTTCGCACCTCTCGTTGCGGCAGGCCAAATGGAACGAGCACTCGTCGTCGCTGCGGCACTCGGGGCGCTCACAGCGCACCAGAGGATTGCCGCGATATCCATCCGGACAGTGGCAACGCGCGCGATGATTGAAGTCTGCGCGACAGGTGGCTCCTACGCCGCACTGGGTGAAGCTACAGGGATCCACACACTTCTCGTTGATGCAGGCCTCCGTGGGTGCGCATTCGGTGTCGGAGCGACAGCCGAGTAGGTAGCAATGCTGCAGAGCATTGCCTGTGTAGCCCTCATTGCAGACACAAAGCGGACGATGGAGCTGGACATGGCAGCGGGCTTGCTGAGCGCAGAGATTCGATTGCTCGCAAGGATTGCGGCAGACCTGATTGATGCAGGCCTTGTCGTTGGTGCACTCCGCATCGCTTACACACTCCGGTTTCGGTTGCTCCAGCTGTGGGGGTATTTGCCTTAGGCACTGGGCATAGGGCGAGCCGTAGAAGTCGGGAGGACAGCTGCAGACGGCCTTGTGGTTGATGGCACGGCAGATGGCATTCAAGCCGCAAGCCTGCAGGCAGGGATCGCGGCACTTTTGGTTGACACAAGCGCGATCGCGGGAGCAATCCTCGTTGATCACACACTCGGGATAGCTGCAGGTGGCAGCGCCATTGTGGACTCGGCAAATGCCGTTGCTGCGGCACGGTGACGGGTTGCACGGATCCACTGGCTCCGCTTGGCGAGGAGACTCGCACTGGACGAACGGATTGCCCACCATGTTGGCGGGGCAACTGCAGACGGGGCTGTGGTTGATGGTCTGGCAAACGGCTCCGTAGCCGCACTCGCCCACACAGGCATCCACGCACTTGGAATTGATGCAGGCCTTATCCTTGGCACAGTCAGAGCTCAGAGTGCACTCCGGGCGACAGCCCTGGGCCAGCGGATTGCCAAAGAATCCTGGCAAGCACTCACACACAGCCTTCTCGCTCTGCACACGACACACGGAATTGGGTCCACATGGCGACGGGTAGCAGGGATCGGAGACTGGCGGTGGGGCCAGCATTCGCGTGCACTGCACAAAGGCATTGCCCGTGTAGCCAGCCGGACAGGAGCAGATGGGTATGTGGTTGTTCATGTTGCACCTGGCCTCCAGGCCGCAAACTCCCGGGCAGGGATCCACGCACTTGTTGCGCACACAGGCCCTGTTCGCGGGACACTCGGAGTTGCCCACGCACTCGGGGCGGCAGCCCTCGTAGGGATTACCAATGTACTCCTGTTGGCTGCACTCGCACACATAGCTCTGGCCGGTCACGCGGCAGTTGGCATTAGTGCCGCAGGGCGAGGGATAGCAAGGGTTCTTCGGTGTCGTTGGTGGCTCTTGCAATGGTGGTTCTGCAAAGGGTTGGAAATTATGGAAAAATAATGATTAAATGGAGTCCTACAAGTGGAGTTCCCTGCCTGAATACAATATGCAAACTTGTTTCGGGGTCTAGGGGATTGGCTGGTAATGGGCAGTGGGAGAATCTTATTCTTACTTTGACACAGGCGGAAGGGGTCCCCGGTCATGCCGCTGGGGCACTGACAGTTGGGCGTATGCAGCCGGACCACGCATTGGGCGTTCTGGCCACAGCTGCCGGGACAGGGATCGGTGCAACGTTGATTGATGCACGCCAGGGCATTGGGGCACTCGTCGTTGCTGACACACTCGGGTCGGCAGTTCGGGGGCGTGCCCTGGAACTCTGGCAGGCAGCGGCACTGCGCCTGACCCTTCTCATTACTGCACTGGGAGTTGGGGCCGCAGGGCGACGGGGAGCAGGGATCGCGCACAGCATTGATTTCGGGTTTGCGCGCAATCAGCAGATGACACTGGGAGTAGGCATTGCCGGTATAACCGGCACTGCACTCGCAGTGTGCTCTGTGCTGCACCGCCTGGCAGATGGCATTGAGGCCACACTTGCCCGGACAGGGATCCACACACTTCTGGTTGATGCACTCGTGCACCTGGGAGCAGTCGGAGCTGGCGTAGCACTCTGGTCGGCAGTTGGGTGGCTGACCAAAGTAGCCCGCCAGGCAGGAGCAGATGGCCACGTCGTTTCTCTCCAGGCATTGGGCGTTGGCTCCGCACGGTGATGGCTGGCAGGGATTTGGCGGACGCGCTGGGGGCTCATCACGCAGTGGGGAGCAGGAGACAAAGGCATTGCCCGTCATCCGCTCGGGACAGTGGCACATTGCAATGTGGTTGACGGCATCGCAGAGGGCATTCGGTGCACAATTTCCGGGACAGGGATCCACGCACTTTTGCCGCACACACGCCCGGTTCCTCGGGCAGTCCGAGTTCAGGACGCACTCGGGTCGGCAGCCGGTGTACGGATCACCCTGATATTCGGGCAGACACGAGCACTGGCCATCGCGGCACTGGGCATTGGCGCCGCACGGTGACGGCTGGCAGGGATCGGAGATGGGAGCTGTAAAATAGGTTTGGCCGGGATTAGAAGAGGACACTTGGGGGGCTGTTTTATGGTGGACTGGCATACTCGTTGGTGGTGGGGTTGGTGGCACAATTCGGCAGCTGGTGAATGGATCTCCGGTATAGCCACTGGGACATGAGCAGCTCGGCGTATGATTTATCACGTTGCAGAGGGCGTCAAAGCCACAGGAGCCGGGACAGGGATCGCGGCACTTCTCGTTGATGCACGCCTGGTTGCTGGGACACTCCGCATTGATGGTGCACTCGGGCCTGCAGTTGGGCGCAGCGCCCACATAATTGGGCAGGCAGCTGCAGCTGGCTCCTCCGTTCACCGAGCGACACTGGGCATAGGGTCCGCAGGGCGAGGGATAGCAGGGATCACGAGGAGTGTCCTCTGACTTAGCTGGTTTCGGTGGTAAGGGATTAGGCAGGCAGCGGGTCAAGGCATCGCCCATAAATCCGGGCAGACACGAGCAGAGAGGGCTGTGATTTCTCACATGACACTGGGCATTCAGACCGCAGGCGCCGGGACAGGGATCTTGGCACTTCTGGTTGATGCATGCCTTGTCCGCTGGACACTCGGCACTGATCACACACTCGGGACGGCAGGCGGGCGGTGTGCCCACAAATTCGGGCAGACAGGAGCATATAGCCTGGCCCTGGGACTCGCGACACTGGGCATTGGCACCGCACGGCGATGGCTGGCAAGGATTCACGTATTCCGGTGGCGTGGCTATGTAAGGATTTGAGAATATGAGGAGTGTTTAGCATTCGTACAAATCACATGGCCATGGCAAAGCGATTAGCGTTAAGCGATTAAAAAGGCAACCAAAAGCGTATAAAGTATCCGTATAAAAAGCTAGCATATTGTCACAAAGTCAGCGAAGGGCAGGTCATCAGTCCATCAAACACAACAATTACTAAACAAATTGTCATGCACGAGACAAGTTTTTGATTTTGAAGGCTAATAATTAAGCGCTGAGTTGTTTGGAGTCGCGTGGTGGTAAATGGATAGCATATTCGATGAGAGATTCGATGGATTTAGGGGTTTAACGATGATAAGGAGGAGACTGCATATAGAGAAGACTGAGACTTGAGCACTGCGTTGTTGTTTAGAGAGAGAGTAGAAGTCGCTATAAGATCACGACCATATAGAGGTAGCTTATTCAATGAGAGACTGTATGGATTTAGGGGTTTAACGATGATGCTTAAGATTACAAGGAAATGACGACAGAAGGACAAGGCTGAGAAGGCATAAGACGGAGCGTTGAGTACTGCATTGTTGTTTAGAGCAAAAGGAAGGAGACGCATTAGGATTAGGGCGGCGATTCTTAGAGTTCGTTTCTTACGTTCATGCTGCAGCCGATGACATGCGAGATAGGGATTGCCATTGTAACCCCCAAGGCACTCGCAGACAGGGCTGTGGTTTATGGCCAGACAATGGGCATTGGGGCCGCAGGCACCGGGACAGGGATCGCGACACTTCTCGCCAAGGCAAGCACGGTCGCTACTGCAATCCGAATTCACTGTGCACTCGGGGCGACAGATCTCATACGGATTGCCGTAATAGTCGGGCAGGCACTGGCACACACTAATGTCATGGTGGGGCCGACAAATGGCATTGATGCCGCAGGGACTGGGCTGGCAGGGCACAGGCTTAGGCACAGCCACATCCCTTACGGGTGGCTCGGGACGTGCACAAATGCTGTAGGCATTGCCCACATAGCCCTCGGGGCAGTAGCAAACAGGACTGTGGGCCACCACACGACATAGTGCCAGTTGGCCGCAGCTGCCGGGGCAGGGATCGACGCACTTGTAATTGCGGCACGCCTTGTCGGCGGGGCAGTCGGCGCTGCTCACGCACTCTGGCCGACAGTGGGGTGGTGTGCCCCTGGAGTATTCGGGCAGACACGAGCAGCGGGCAAAGCCATCTGGCGTCGCCTGACATTCAGAGTGGGGACCACAAGGCGAGGGCAGACATGGGTTAACTTCATCGCGAGGAGGTGGTGGTGGCAAAACTGAAAGAGCAAGACGTGGGATCAGAATGGTGCTGGGGTTTTGGAGTTACAAGATTATCCGGCATACCTATGGGCTGACACGAGAGTAAGGGGTTACCCGTGAGTTGGGGCGGACACACACAGCGGGGACTGTGGCTCTGCACGTGGCAGATGGCACGAATGCCGCATGCCCCTGGGCAGGGATCGCGACACTTAAGATTCAGGCAATATTTGTCCAGAGCACAGTCAGAGTTAGAGGTGCACTCGGGACGACAAGCGGGTGGAGTGCCCATGTATCCCGGGAGACAGTAGCATATCGCCTGCTCATGATAGGCCCGGCAATTGGCGTTGGGTCCGCATGGCGAAGGTCTGCAGGGATCGATTGGTGTACGCTGCGGTATCACAGCGGGCAATGTCGTTTGTGGTGGCTCTATTGTGGCTGGAATGGGATCGCAGCGCACAAAGGCATCGCCCTGCATTCGTTCCGGGCATGAGCAGGTCGCCAAATGGTTGTAGACATGGCAGAGGGCGTTCAGTCCACATGTTCCTGGACAGGGATCCTGGCACTTCTGATTGATGCACGCCTTGTCCCGCGCACACTCCGTGTTCAGGACACACTCTGGTCGACAGCCAAAGTAGGGATCGCCGCGATACTCCGGTAGGCAGCTGCATTTTCCATCATGACACACCGCATTGGGTCCGCATATTGAAGGATAACATGGATCCTTCTGCACGATGGGTTCACGCTGTATCGGTGTTGGTCTACAGGACACGAATGGATCTCCCGTGTATCCGGAGCGACAGAAGCAATTGGGCACATGTTCATGCACTCGACACACTGCCTCATAGCCGCATAATCCCGGGCACGGATCCCGACACTTCTCATTAATGCACGCCAGCGCTGAGGGGCAGTCCGATTGAACTACACATTCCGGCCGGCAGTTGGGCGGAGTTCCACTGTAGTTGGGCAAACACACGCAGGCGGCCGCTCCGAAGCGATTGTGGCATTGCGAGTACGGTCCGCAGGGCGATGGATAGCACGGATTAAACTCAAACGCAGGTCTCGCCACATCATAGTTGGGACGACGTGTGGGTACTGGCTGTGCCACGGATGGTATATTGATAGTTCCAGGTGTGGGTTGTGGTCGATGAATCTCATAATTGATATCGTACACAGGCTGTTGAGGTGCCGTGGGAGAAGGTTGTGGCACTGACGGAATGTTTACCACTCCTGGAGTTGGCACATAAACCGGCGGTGATGGATGTGATGGAATATTGACCACACCAGGTGTTGCTGATGGCACTGGTTGTGGTACAGAAGGCACATTTATAACTCCAGGTACAGGAATTGGTTGTGGTGTTGGATAGCTAACATCTTGGATTGGTGGATTCTGTGGTGGATACGTTGGCTGTGGTACCGAAGGAATGTTGACCACTCCTGGAGTTGGTACATAGCTGGGTGGAGTTGGTTGTGATGGTACATTGATCACTCCTGGCAAAGGTTGTGGTGAGGGAGTTGGTTGTGGCACAGAAGGCACGTTTATAACTCCTGGTACAGGATTGGGTTGAGGTATTGGATAGCTCACATCATGTATGGGTGGATTTTGCGTTGGATACGTGGGCTGTGGTACCGAAGGAATGTTGACCACTCCTGGAGTTGGTACATAGCTGGGTGGAGTTGGTTGTGATGGTACATTGATCACTCCTGGCACAGGTTGTGGTGAGGGAGTTGGTTGTGGCACAGAAGGCACGTTTATAACTCCTGGTACAGGATTGGGTTGAGGTATTGGATAGCTCACATCATGTATGGGTGGATTTTGCGTTGGATACGTTGGCTGTGGTACCGAAGGAATGTTGACCACTCCTGGAGTTGGTACATAGCTGGGTGGAGTTGGTTTTGATGGTACATTGATCACTCCTGGCACAGGTTGTGGTGAGGGAGTTGGTTGTGGCACAGAAGGCACGTTTATAACTCCTGGTACAGGATTGGGTTGAGGTATTGGATAACTAACGTCTTGGGTTGGTGGATACGTTGGCTGTGGTACCGAAGGAATGTTTACTACGCCCGGTTGGGGTTTAGGTTGTGGTTGTGGTTGTGGAGTTGGAGCTGGAACATAGATTGGCTGCTGTGGCACCGGGTAAACTGGTCGAGGAGGTGAGGGTATATTGATGACACCTGGTATCGATGGAGGCGGTGGATAGTACACGTCGTATATGGCAGGACGGTGTACAATCGCTGGCTGAGGTGTGGGATACACTGGTTGGTGTACAGATGGAATATTGATCACTCCCGGCTGAGGTGCAGGTGTCACTGGGTTCACTGGTGTGGGTATAAATACTGGACGTTGCGAAACGGGTGGCACAGGCTGCGGTACAGATGGGATATTCACAATTCCAGGACTTTGCGGCACCGGAGTGTGTGGCGTGGGATAGTTAACATCGTAAACTGGCGGCTGAGGTGTAGGGTACACTGGTTGCGGCACAGAAGGTATATTATACACTCCTGGCTGTGGTGCAGGTGTCGGCTGAGGTACAGAGGGAATGTTAATAACTCCTGGCTGTGGTGAAGGTATCGGCTGTGGCACAGAAGGAATATTAATAGCTCCTGGCTGTGGAGCAGGTGACGGCTGAGGTACAGAGGGAATATTATATACTCCTGGCTGCGGTGCAGGTATTGGCTGCGGCACAGAAGGTATATTATACACTCCTGGCTGTGGTGCAGGTATTGGCTTCGGCACAGAAGGTATGTTCACTATTCCGGGTGCAGGAGGTTGATGTTGCGGAGTCGTAGGATAAGTCACATCGTATATCGGTGGTTGTGGTGATGGGTGCACTGGTTGGTGCACTGAAGGTATATTTACGATTCCTGGCTGTTGTGGATAACCTGGCTGTGGCTGTGGCTGTGGCACAGAAGGAATATTAATCACTCCTGGCTGTGGTGCAGGTGTCGGCTGAGGCGCTGAAGGAATATGTACAATTCCTGGTGCCTGATGAATCGGTGTGTGAGGCGTTGGATAGTTCACATTGTAAACCGGTGGTTTTGGTGACGGATACACTGGCTGTGGCACAGAGGGTATATTCACTAATCCAGGCTGTGGCGCAGGTGTTGGGTATGTAGGTGATGGTGTTAACACTGGTCGTTGGGGAACTGCAGGCACAGGCTGTGGCAGAGATGGAATATTAACTATTCCTCCCGGTTGTTGTGTAATCGTAGATGGATAGTTTACAACTCCTGGTTGTTGAGGATATTGTGGGCTTGGTGGATGGTTGGGAATATTAACAATTCCAGGCTGCTGTTGTTGGATGTACACCAAACCGGGGATTGACACGGGGTAGGGTGGCGATGGGGTGTCGTATATCTGTTGGGGGCTTTCGGCTGTCGGGGCTGTAGGGAAATGAGGAGTGGCCAGAGGAGTGGAATGGTTAGGCGTGCATCCGTTTACACTGTCGGGGAGTATATTCTTACGTCTCGTGGGTATCTCGTAGCAGCGGGTGAAGGGATCACCGGTATGCGAGGCGATGCAGTAGCAGATTGGACTGTGATAGTGAACCCGACACTGGGCATTCAAGCCGCAGATTCCTGGACAGGGATCGACACACTTGAGATGGACACACGCCCTATCAAGGGCACACTCTGAGTTCAAAGTACACTCGGGTCGACACTGGGGCGGAGTTCCATAGAAATCGGGCAGACAGGAGCAAACGGCTTGGTCATTCGATGGCTGACACTTGGCATTGGGTCCACAGGGCGAGGGATCACATGGCGTTAAGGGTGCTGGGACGGACGAAAGGATTAGATTGGGATTCGATGGGGAGTTGCATATCGGATGCTTACATTTCTGGACAACTGGCAGTGGGGCACAGTGGGCCAGAGGATTACCCGTGTAGCCCCTGAAGCACTGGCAATGGGGCAAATGATCCAGCACGTGGCATTCGGCATTGAGGCCGCAGGTGCCGGGGCACGGATCGCGACACTTTTGCTGCACGCACGCCCTGTCCGAAGCACAATCGGAATTCAGGATGCACTCTGGTCGGCAGGCGTCGTACGGATTGCCATAGTAGTCCGGCAAGCAGACGCAGGAGGCAACGCCTCTCTGCTGACTGCATCGAGCATTGGCCCCGCAGGGATTCGGCTCGCACGGATTGCGTATGGGCTGATCATGTTGCAATACTTCTATGGCCGTTGTGGGTATCACGGGGGATTCGTAGGACGGAAGACGTGCTGGAGGCAGACACGAGTTGAACGGATTGCCCACCAGCCCCGGGGCACAGACACAGTTCGGTTGGTGGTTGTACGTCCGGCAGATGGCATTGTAGCCGCAGAGGCCGGGACAGGGATCCTGGCACTTCCAATTGATGCAAGCCCTGTCGCCGGGACACTCGCTGTTGGCAATGCACTCGGGCCGGCAGTATGGTGGCACTCCCAGATACTCGGGCAGGCAACGGCAGATGGCATTGAGGCCATCCTCATTGCTGCACTGCGAGTGGGGGCCACAGGGCGAGGGCGTGCAGGGATCGATGGGTTCCCGTTCAACAGGAGCTCTACGAATCACCTGGCACTGGGAGTACGGACTGCCCGTGTAGCCTGCCGGGCAAACGCATTGCGGACTGTGGTTGATTACGTGGCACTCGGCCAGATAGCCACAGGCTCCGGGACAAGGATCGCGGCACTTTTGATTCATGCACGAGCGCCTCGGCGGACACTCGGAGTCGCTTACGCACTCTGGCCGACAGACGGGCGGGCTGCCGTAATAGCCGGGCAGGCAGGTGCATTCCGCCTGGGAGCCAATCTCGCGACACTGTCCATGGGCGCCACAAGGCGATGGCTGGCAGGGATGCAGCTGAATGGGTGAATCCAGCTGCCTAATGGGCTGGCATAGCACGAAAGGATTTCCTTGCTGCCCATCCGGACAGTGACACAGGGCTACATGATTTTGAACACGACAGTAGGCTCCAGAGCCACACGTTCCCGGACACGGATCCACGCAACGATTGCGTATGCAGGCCTTATCCCAAGGACACTCTGTGCTCAGCACGCACTCGGGACGACAGCCTGCATAGGGATCGCCTTGGTAGAGTGGCAGACAGCTGCAGATGCCATTCGAGCACTGAGCATTGGGACCACAGGGCGAGGGATGGCAGGGATCATCTTGGGACACAATGGGAGCCACTGGATACGGAGTTGGCGCTGGATAGCAGCGGAAGAAGGGATCTCCAAGGTATCCTTGTGGACAGGAACAACTGGGCACATGATTGAGCACCGCACACTGGGCGTACAGACCACAGGCCCCGGGACAGGGATCGCGGCACTTCTGGTTGATGCACGCCCGATGGCTGGGACAGTCAGAGTTGAGGGTGCACTCGGGTCGACAGTGGGGCGGAGTGCCGTAGTAGGAGTCCAGACAGGTGCACACACCTTGTCCGTACTGCTCGCGGCACTGGGCATACTGTCCGCAGGGTGAGGGCACACAGGGATTTACAGGGGGAGGAGACGACTGGCGAATGGGTTGCTGGGGCGGAGGCAGTGGAAGGCAACGCATGAAGGCGTCGCCGGTGTAGCCAGGCGGACATGAGCACAGGGCTCGGTGTTGGCGCGCCTGACAAATGGCATTCTGGCCACAGGCACCGGGACACGGATCTGCGCAATGTCTGGCCACGCAGGCTCTATCATGGGGACACTCGGGATTGGTGGTGCATTCGGGTCGACAGGCGGGCGGAGAACCATAGTAATCGGGCAGGCAGCGACAGACAGCCTGTCCCTGGGCTACGCTGCACTCAGAGTTGGGGCCACACGGCGAGGGCTGACAGGGATCAACAGGATCGATTGCTGGAGGGGTGCAGAAGGGTGCAAAAGTGTTGGTGGATTGTTGGTTAGTGGGGCAAGTGAGGGGGGATTTCTTACGTTCTGCCTGGACAGGCACCAACTGGCAATGGGTGTAGGGATCCCCTCTGTAGCCGGGATAGCAGCTACAGCTGGGAATGTGATTGACGACCTGGCATTGTGCGTTAGGCGCACAGCTGCCGGGACAGGGATCGCGACAATGTTGATTCAAGCAGGCCAAATGGCCAGAACAGTCCGAATTGAGAACACACTCGGGTCGGCATCCCTCGTACGGATTTCCATAGGTCTCTGGCAGGCACTGGCATGACGCAGGTCCTCCTTGTTGTCTGCAAATGGCATTGTTGCCGCAGGGATTCTGCGCACATGGATTGATCTGATCTCTTTCGATCTGTGGTCGTGGACGGCAGGCCGTGTAGGGATCTCCAATGTAATCGCCAATGCAAATGCACGACGGCACATGGCTGACGACCTGGCAGCTGGCTGCTTGACCGCACAAACCAGGACATGGATCGCGGCACTTCTGTTGGATGCATGCCAATTGGTTGGCGCACTCTGAAGATGTTATACACTCGGGTCGACAGCTGGGCGGTGATCCTATGTAGCCTTCGAGGCATTTGCAAATGGCTTTATCGCCTTGTTCTGTGCACTGAGCATTCGATCCACATGGTGATGGCTGGCAGGGATTCACATGAACAGGTTCTCGCTGCACAATCACTGGTGGAGTTCGCTGACACAGGGAGAAGGCATTGCCCGTGTATCCTGCGGGACAACTGCAGTGTGGGACATGTCGAATGACCTGGCAGTTGGCAAACTGCCCGCACGCACCGGGACAGGGATCGCGACACTGTTGATTGAGGCACGCCAAGTGGGGGGCACAGTCCGAGTTGATGGTGCACTCGGGTCGACATTTGGGCGGTACTCCAAAGTATCCTGGCAGACAGGAGCACACAGCCTGCTGATTGGCCACGCGACACTGGGCCTTCGATCCACAGGGTGATGGCTGGCAGGGATTCAGGGACTCCACGGGTGCAGCTAAACAACACATGGGAAAGGATACATTAGCTGGAGGGGTGGCTTCAACAAGAGATTGGCAAGGGAACCTACATTGCATGGTTGTACACTGGGTAAAGGCGTTGCCAGATGTTCCGGCTGGACAGTGGCAGATGGGAATGTGGTTGCGCACCTCACAAACGGCGCCCACACCACAGGCACCCGGACATGGATCCACGCATTTGTTGCGCTGACAGGCCCTGTCCCGGGCACACTCTGTATTCAGGACACACTCTGGGCGACAGCCCACATAGGGATTTCCATCGAATTCCGCCAGACAGCTGCACTGTCCCCCGGCACTGCAAACGGCATTGGAGCCGCAGGGCGAGGGATTGCAGGCATCGCGCAACACTGGAATCGGAGCTGGTGGAGGTTGGGGTCGGCAGCTCACAAAGGGATTGCCCTGATAGCCAGGTGGACAGCTGCAGATGGGCGTGTGATTGATGACGTTGCAGTGGGCCAGCAGGCCACAGGAGCCGGGACAGGGATCGCGACACTTCTCACTGATGCACGCCAAGTGCGAGGCGCAGTCGGGATTGATGACACACTCTGGCTGGCACTGAGGCGGCACACCAAAGTATCCTGGCAGACAGGAGCACACGGCCTGCTGATTGCCCTGATCTCTGCACTGGCCAAAGGTGCCGCACGGCGAGGGAACACACGGGTCGCTGTAGGTATCCTTGGGAGGAGGAGCATCATAGCTAATGGCGGGTCGAATCTTCTGACAGCCACTGAAGGCATCGCCAGTGTAGCCGGGCAGACAACTGCAGTGGGGACTGTGGTTGAGGACATGGCATTGGGCATTGCTGCCGCAGATTCCGGGGCAGGGATCCACACAGTGATGCTGCACGCATGCTCTGGTCAGGTCACACTCGCTGGATATGGTACACTCGGGTCTACACGCGGGCGGAGAGCCAATAAAGTCGGGCAGACACTTGCAAATGGCTTGACCATTCGCCTCACGACACTGGGCATTGGGTCCACATGGCGAGGGCTGGCAGGGACGGGAGGCAATGGGTTCGGGCAGGGCTGCAGGGAGGAGGAGCAAATCTTTGGGTAAGTATGACAAAGGAACATCAAGAAGGGTCTTACGATCGCTCAGGAGACTGCAATAGGTGTAGGGATTTCCCTGGTAGCCCGCTAGGCACTGGCATTGCGGCAAATGATTTCGCACTTGGCACAGGGCATTGGAGCCGCATGTGCCGGGACAGGGATCGCGGCAATGCTGGTTGACACACGCCAAATGGTTGGGACAGTCCGTATTAAGAACACACTCGGGACGACAGCCTTCGTAGGGATTTCCATAGGTCTCAGGCAGGCACTGGCATGCTCCAGCTCCATTTCGTTCACTGCAAATAGCATTGGCGCCACAGGGACTGGGCACACACGGATTGAGTGGCGTTTCTGGGACATCACGCACTACTTGACAGCCATCAAAGGGATTGCCATTATATCCACCGAGACACGTGCACATGGGCGTGTGATTGATCACATAACACTCGGCATTCAGGCCACAGACTCCGGGACAGGGATCGTGGCACTTTTCGTTGCGGCATGCCAGATTCGTGGGACAATCAGAGTTGGAGACGCATTCCGGTCGGCAGTCGGGTGGTGTGCTCACAAATCCAGCGAGGCAGCTGCATTGTGCAGTGGTTCCTTGGGCGCGACACTCTGCGTTGGCGCCACACGGAGATGGTTGACAAGGGTCCAGCAGAGGTGGATCCTGCCGGACAGGCGGCAGTTGGCGGTGGCATGCCACAAATGGATTGCCCGTAAACGATTGAATGCAGTGACAGTTGGGACTGTGATTGATCACACGACACTCGGCATTGAGGCCACAGGAGCCGGGACAGGGATCGCGACACTTCTGCTGCAGACACGCCAAATGCAATGGACATTCCCCATTGCTGACGCACTCTGGACGGCAGGATGGTGGTGTGCCCACAAATTGTGACAGACACGAGCACACGGCCTGTCCGTTGACACGTCGACATTGGGCATTGGGTCCGCAAGGTGATGGCTGGCAGGGATCGACTATGATGGGAGGAGGATCCTGTGCTGGCGGCAGTGGTCGGCACTGGGAGAAGGCATTGCCAGTCATTCCCGGTGGACAGTGGCACATGGCCACGTGTCGGTGAACCTCACAGATGGCATTGGAACCGCAAGTGCCGGGACATGGATCGATGCACTTGTTCCGCACGCACGCCTTGTCATAGTCGCATTCCGTACTCAGGATGCACTCGGGCCGACAGCCAATCAAGGGATTTCCAATAAACTCTGGTAGACAGCTGCAACTTCCCTGGCGGCAGACAGCATTGACGCCACACGAGATCGAGGCGCAGGGATCGCTGGTATCCTGTGGTGGTGGGTCGCGTGGCCGGGCATGGCAGGAGGTGAATGGATTTCCAATCATTCCTGGAGCACACTGACACGTGGGATTGTGGTTGATCACCGTGCAGAGGGCATTGAAGCCACAGGCTCCCGGGCAGGGATCGCGACAATGCTGCTGTTGGCAAGCCAAATGCGAGGGACAATCCTCGGCGATGGTGCACTCGGGCCGGCAGTTGGGCGGAGTGCCATAGTACGAGGGCAGACAGGTGCAAGTGGCGCTGCCTTGGGTGTCCCTACACTCTGCATACTGGCCGCAGGGCGAGGGTACACAGGGATCGCGGTAGACATCCAAAAGCGGGGGACTAGGTGCTAAATAAAGGGATTGTTGGGATAAAGTAACAGATTCTCTACTGCTTGGGGATTCTTCTCTTACGTGGCAGGGGCAGGCATCGGGTGAAGGCATCGCCCGTGAAACCGGGACGACAGCTGCAGATCGGGGCATGCTGGAAGACATGACACTCGGCATTGGAGCCACACACGCCGGGACAGGGATCGGCACACTTTTGATTGAGGCAGGCCTTGTCACGCGGACACTCGCCACTCGAGACGCACTCGGGTCGACAGTTGGGCGGTGCTCCCACATATTCCCGTAGACATGAGCAGATGGCCTGCTCGTTGTTCTCACGGCACTGGGAGTTGGGGCCACAGGGAGAGGGCTGGCAGGGATTCACATACTCCTTGAGGATAGCTATGGGACAGCAGTGGGTTAAGTCAGGGTTGGGACACACACACGACAGAATCTTCAACTCACGTTTCTCTGGCAGACGACAGTAGCTGTAGGGATCGCCCAGGAATCCACTGAGACAATGACAGGTGGGCAGGTGATTGATGACGCGACAGGCGGCATTCAAAGCACAAACCCCGGGACATGGATCGCGGCACTTCAAATGATGGCAGGACTTATCCGCAGGACAATCGCTGTCGGCTACACACTCGGGACGACAGGCCTCGTAGGGATTGCCATAGTATTCGGGCAGGCATTGGCAGGAGCCGGCACTGCCCTCGTGGCGACACACAGCATTGGCTCCACAGGGATTCGGGGAGCATGGCTGGATATGTTCGATCTGTTGAATGATTGGCGGCTGGTGGCAGGCGCTGAATGGATCACCCGTGTAGCCGGGCAGGCAATGGCACATGGCGGCATGGCTGATCACATGGCATTGGGCATTGGTGCCACAAACGCCGGGACACGGATCGCTGCAGTGCTGTCGGATGCACGCCCTATCGAAGTTGCACTCCGAATTGGTCACACACTCGGGCCGGCAGTTGGGCGGCGTTCCAATGTAGCTGGGAAGACAGCTGCACTGTGCCTGATCTCCCACAGCACGGCACTGGGCATAAGGTCCGCAGGGAGAGAGCTGACAGGGGTTCCTGGGCTCCTCATCGCGACGCACTGGCTGCGGGAAGCAGCCCGTGAAGGGATTGCCATTGTGTTGGGGCGGACAACTGCAGATTGGTGCATGATTGACCACATGACAGAGGGCGTTGAAGCCGCAGGTTCCGGGACAGGGATCGATGCAGTGCTGCCGCTGGCAGGCCAGTCTCGGCAGACAATCCGAATTGTGGGTGCACTCGGGTCGGCAATTGGGTGGTGTACCCACATAATCCTCAATGCAGGAGCACACGGCATTGTTGTTGAACACGCGGCAACGGCTGTTCGGGCCGCACGGTGATGGGGCACAAGGATCGGGAGGCGATAGTGCCACTTGTGGAATCTCGCACTGAATGAAGGCATTGCCCGTCATCTGTTCGGGACAACGGCACATGGCAATGTGATTGATTGTCTCGCATATGGCATTGGGGGCACAGGTGCCCGGGCAGGGATCCACACACTTGTGGCGCACACAGGCACGATCTCTCGAACAGTCGGCATTCAGGACACACTCGGGACGGCAGCCCCTGTAGGGATCTCCCTGATAGTCGCCAATGCAGGAACACTGACCATTCGAGCACAGAGCATTGGCTCCACAGGGCGAGGGCTGGCAGGGATCATCAAGGGCAATGGGTGTGGCTGCAGATAGGTGTGAGGTTGAGAGATGTTCACAGTGATATTTTCGTTTCTCTTACGTGGTGCTGGCGGTTCGGGGTAACAATTGGTGAATGGATCTCCCACATATCGAGGGGGACACTGACAGCTGGGCACATGGTTACGCGTGGTGCAGAGGGCATTGTAGGCACAGGAGCCGGGACAGGGATCCACACAGCGTTGATTTATGCACGCACGGCTGGACAGGCACTCGGAACTCTGGGTACACTCGGGTCGACAGTTGGGCGGCTGACCAAAGTAGTTGTGGAAACAGCTACAAATGGCCTGACCCTGGGATTGTCTGCACTGGGCATTGGCGCCGCAGGGCGATGGCTGGCAGGGATCTCTCACAATGTCGTACAGGATTTGTGGTGAGGGCGCTAATCGAGTGGGAATGGGATGTTAAAGATCTTCAGGAGACACACGCTTTGTGGGGACTTACGAGGCACTGGATAGCAACGGGTGAATGGATCTCCCGTGTAGCCTGGCTGACAGGAACACAGAGGGGCATGGTTTATGCCACGACAAATGGCATTGCTGCCACAGGCATTCGGACAGGGATCCACACACTTGTGGCTCACACATGCTCTGTCCAGGTTGCATTCCGAAGAGACTGTACACTCGGGACGACAGCCAGGCGGGCTGCCCACATACTCGGGCAGACAGGAGCAGGTGGCGAGACCATTCAGTTCACGGCACTGGGAGTTGGGGCCACAGGGAGAGGGCTGGCAGGGATTCACATATTCACGAAGGGCTGCAAGATAGGATGGGCATGGGAGCTCTAGAGAGGGATACATGGACTCATGATGTCTGCTTACGTTTGGGCTCAATGCTGCAGTAGCTATAAGGATCTCCCACATAACCGTTCAGGCAGTTGCAGGTGGGCAAATGATTGCGGACATAGCACTCGGCATTCTGGCCACACACTCCAGGACAGGGATCGCGGCACTTCTGATTCACACAGGCACGGTTCGAGGCACAGTCAGAGTCGAGGACGCACTCGGGACGGCAGGACTCGTAGGGATTGCCGTAGTATTCGGGCAGACACTGACAGGAGCCCACTCCATTCTGTTGCCGGCACTCGGCAAAGGTGCCACAGGGACTCGGGTTACAAGGCTGCAGCACCTCCACTGGGTCACGTACAATAATAGGTTCACAGCGGATAAATGGATCACCACTGTATCCTGTCTCGCAGTAGCACATGGCACTATGGCTGATGACGCGACAGAATGCAGATGTGCCACAGAGGCCTGGGCAGGGATCTCTGCAGCGATTGTTCACACAAACTTGGACCGAGCTGCACTCAGAGTTGGACACACACTCGGGCCGACAGTTGGGCGGAGTGCCAAAGAAGTTGGCCAGGCAGGAGCAGGATGGTGTCTCACCCACGGGTCGACACTCGCTGTTGGGTCCACAAGGGGATGGCTGGCAGGGATCACGAGGCGCAACATCCCTCAAAGGTTCAACTGTACATGGAATCATTAGGTGGGACTGGGATAGACTGGGTTCTGGGACAGACTTACAGATCATATGACACTGAACGAAGGGATTGCCCGTGTAACCAGGCCGGCAGCTGCAGAAGGGACTGTGGCTGACGGCGCGGCATTGGGCATTGGCGCCACAAGCTCCGGGACAGGGATCGACACAACGCTGGTTCTGGCACGCCAAATGGGGAGCACAATCGTAGTTGCTGCTGCACTCGGGTCGGCACGCGGGTGGCACCCCAAAGTAGTTGGGCAAACAGCTGCAGATGGCCTGACCATTCCGCTCGCGACACTCGGCATAGCTGCCGCAGGGTGATGGGCTACAGGGATTGCGATAGACTTCAACGGCATCGCGTACGGGACTGCACTGGGAGAAGGCATTGCCCGTCATTCCCGGGGGACAATGGCACATGGCTATGTGGCTCTGAACTTCACAGATGGCATTAGCACCGCATGTGCCTGGACAGGGGTCCGTGCACTTTTGATGGATGCAGGCCAGATGCCTGGGACACTCAGAACTCAGCACACATTCGGGTCGGCAGGAGACATAGGGATCACCCAGATATTCAGCCACACATTGGCACTGTCCCTCGCCCGAACAAATGCCATTGCTGCCGCAGGGACTGGGATTGCAGGGATCACGGAGCTCGTCGTAGGTTGGAGGGGCTGTAGGATTGCGATTTACAGAGAGTTCGGAAAAGGTTAAGGTCAAGAAGGTCTTACGTGGAGCTGGGTGGCAGGCGAGGAAGGCGTCTCCCACATAGCCCTGCAGGCACAGACAGCTGGGCACATGATTGGTCACCCGACACTCGGTCTGCTGGCCACAGGCGCCGGGGCAAGGGTCTCGACACCTTTGTTGGATGCACGCCAAATGGCTGGGACACTCTGCATTGATGGAGCACTCGGGTCGGCAGTTGGGGGGAGTGCCAAAGTAGTTCGGCAAACAGGAGCACACAGCCTGCTGCTGCTGGTTGCGGCAGGCAGAGTACAGGCCACAGGGTGAGGGTGCACAGGGATCGCGATAGGGGGCCACATCTCTCAGGGGAGGTGGAGGAACTGTCAAGGGTCGTAGAGTATTAGCACCACACTTCATCATATTTCTCGATGATTTCTTACTCTCTGGTCGGGGCAGGCAGCGCACGAAGGGATCGCCCATCAGCGCGGGGGGACACCTGCAGATGGGACTATGGTTGCGCACCTCACAGATCGCTTGGTGGCCACACACACCAGGACAGGGATCAGCACACTTGTAGCTGATGCACGCCTTGGTGGCGGGACACTCAGAGCTGGAGGTACACTGGGGACGACAGTTGGGTGGGGCTCCTTCGAACTCGGGGGCACAGGAGCAGACGGCCTGTTCGTTTACCACACGACAAATGGCATTGGAGCCACAGGGCGATGGCTGACAGGGATTCACATACTCGTGGACAATAGCTAGTTGTTTTGGGTTAGGATACAAAATACGCTTGGAATTAGTAACTAACCAACTACGGCCAACAATTTAGTACAACTACTAGTGATAATTGGAACTAGCTTACGTTCTGGCGGTTGATTGCAATAGCGATACGGATCGCCTATGAATCCAGGGAAGCAGCTGCAGAGGGGCGTATGATTCACGACATTACACTCGGCATTCTGGCCACAGCTGCCGGGGCAGGGATCGCGGCACTTTTCCTGCTGGCAGGCTCTGTTCGCGGGACAATCCGAGTTGAGTACGCACTCTGGGCGACAGCCCTCGTAGGGATTTCCAAAGTATTCCGGCAGACACTGACAAGCGCCCGCTCCGTTGCGTTGTATGCACTCGGCGTTTGAGCCGCAGGGCGAGGGATGGCACGGATTGATGATCTCCACATCGTGGACAATCGGTTGGCACTGGGTGAAGGGATCGCCGGTGAGGCCTGCATCACAGATGCACATGGCCGTGTGCGATACAACGCGACAAATGGCACTGAAACCGCACAGACCGGGGCAGGGATCGCGACACTTTCGATTGATGCAAGCACGATTCGATGGACACTCGGAGTTAGTCACACATTCCGGCTTACAGTACGGCGGAGAGCCCACAAATTCTGGCAGGCAGGAGCACGATGGTGTGTCCCCAACGGCACGACACTCGGCATTTGGTCCGCAGGGGGACGGACGGCAGGGATCACGTGGAATTATTTCCTCTCTCTGTGGAGGTTCGATGATCTGCTGGCAGCCCACAAACGGGTTGCCCGTATAGTGGGGCAGACACGTGCAGAAGGGATTGTGATTGACGACACTGCACTGGGCATTCCTGCCACAGGCACCAGGACACGGATCGACGCACTTTTGATTTACACACGCCTGGAGGGACACACACTCGGCGTTCGAGGTGCACTCTGGACGACAGATTGGAGGCGTTCCAATATATCCTGGCACACAGGAGCATACCGCCTGACCATTCGCCTCACGGCACTGAGAATTGGGGCCACAGGGCGAGGGTTGACAAGGCTGGACAATGGCTGGTGCTGTGGAAATGGCAGGGGGAAAAATGGTTGGAATCGCTCGAAGAATATGCAGGAATTTAGTTCTGGGTTCTTACGTGGCACTGGTTGGCACTGGATAAACGCATTGCCAGCATAACCCTCAGGACAGGTGCACATCGGGACATGATTGAGGACCGTACAAATGGCATTGGGGGCACAGGTGCCCGGGCAGGGATCGAAGCACTTGTGACGCGCACAGGCAAGATCCCGGGAGCAATCCAAACTGGTGATGCACTCGGGGCGACAGCCGCTATAGGGATCACCATGGTATTCCGCGATGCACGTACAAACGCCAGCGTTGCACAGAGCATTGGCTCCGCAGGGTGATGGCTGGCAGGGATCCTCTAGCTCCACAACTAAGTACAAATCGATCTTTAAAGTATTTCTGAATGGTTGAACGGGGGACTCGAGAGTCTTACTTGGTGGTGGTGGTGGTTGGGGCTGACAGTGAGTGAATGGGTCACCCGTGTATCCCGGTGGGCAGGTGCAGCTGGGCGTATGATTGATCACATTGCAAGTGGCGCCAAAGCCACAGGAGCCGGGGCAGGGATCGCGACACTTTTCATTGATGCAAGCCTCACGACTGAGGCACTCTGCATTGATGCGACACTCTGGGCGGCAGTTAGGTGGTGCACCCAGATAACCAATCGAACAGGAGCAGACAGGAGCATCGCCATTCGCACGACACTCGGCGTATGGGCCACAGGGCGAGGGCACACAGGGATCGACAGGTGTCTTTTGCACTGGCGGAGCCACTGGCACAGCTTGGGTGAAAGTAGGAGATTAAAAGACTGCTACCGTGGCACTCCTTTCCGTTCGTCTACTTACGAGGCTTGGGGACACAGCGATAGAAGGCATCGCCCGTGTAACCGGCACGACATGTGCAAATGGGACTGTGATTCACGACGCGACAGGTGGCCTGCTCTCCGCAGGTATTGGGGCAGGGATCGATACACTTCTGGCCCACGCAGGCCTTGTCCGACGAGCACTCTGATGAGATGGTGCACTCGGGTCGACAGACGGGAGGTGCACCCACATATTCGGGCAGACAAGAGCAGACAGCCTGTTCGTTGGACTCACGACACTGGGAATTGGGGCCACAGGGCGAGGGTTGGCAGGGATTCACATACTCCTTGATGGCTACAAAAGTTAGGACAGGGATTGTAGAGATTCATTTCCAAGTGGGTTCTTATGTCTGATGTCTTACGTTGACGTTCGGGTAGGCACTGGCGGTAGGGATCACCGGAGTAGCCCGTGATGCAGCTGCAGCTGGGCACGTGGGTGAGGACATTGCAGATGGCATTCTGGCCGCAGGTTCCCGGGCAGGGATCCTCGCACTTTTGCTGCTGACAGGCTCTGTTCGAAGGACAATCCGAATTGAGGACACATTCCGGACGGCAGCCTTCGTAGGGATTGCCAAAGTATTCCGGCAGACACTGACAAGAGCCAGCATCCTGGCGCGAAGTGCATCTCGCATTGACGCCACAGGGACTGGGATTGCATGGGTCCAATCGATCCAATTGCTGAATTCTCTTCTCCGTGCACTGGGTGAACGGATCACCCTCCATGCCCTCGGGACAGATGCAACTGGGTGTGTGCGAGAGCACACGGCACTCGGCCAAGAGGCCACACAGACCGGGACATGGATCGCGGCACTTTTGCTGGATGCACGCCTGATTTGTGGGACACTCAGAGCTGGTCACGCACTCGGGGCGACAGTTGGGCGGAGTTCCAATGTACTCGGGCAGACAAGTGCACGATGGCGTCTCATTAATCTCTCTGCACTGGGCATACGCGCCACAGGGCGATGGAAGGCATGGCTGACGCGGTGGTGGCACTGGCGGCTCAATAATCGGCTGGCAACTGACAAACGGATTGCCCGTATGGCGGTCCAGGCAGCGACAGAACGGACTGTGGTTCGTAACATGGCACTGGGCACTGCGGCCACAGACGCCCGGACAGGGATCGCTGCATTTCTGGTTCAAACAGGCCAGGTTCAGGGGACATTCCGCGTTGCTGGTGCACTCCGGACGACAGAATGGTGGACTGCCAATGAAGGGTTCGATGCAGGAGCAAATGGCCTGCTGGTTGGCAACGCGACACTGAGCATTGGGTCCGCAGGGTGAGGGCTGGCAGGGATTCTCAACGACATCGAGCTCTGCAATATCCAAGCACTTTATATGGACACCAAAGGGGCAGACATTTGATGGTTTGGGCTTACTTGGAACTGGACTACACTGGATGAAGGCATTGCCCTGCATTTCCGCAGGACAGCGACAATTGGGAATGTGATTCAAGACCTCGCATATCGCATTCGTTCCACATATACCAGGACAGGGATCCACACACTTGTGACGGACACAGGCCCGACTACGATCGCATTCTGTGTGCAGGACACACTCGGGACGACAGCCGGTGTAGGGATCGCCATGGTATTCCGGCAGACACGAGCAGACGCCATTGTTGCAGCGACTGTTGGAGCCACAGGGCGAGGGATAGCAAGGATCTTGGGGTGGCAATGGATCTTGAACTGGGATTTTGAAAAGAATTAAGAAATGATTTCCAATTCGGGACACGGGGCTTACTTTTCTGCGGTGGCTCGGGATTACAAACGCTGAATGGATCACCGATATAGCCCAAAAGACAGCTACAGATTGGAGTGTGATTAATCACATTGCACTGGGTGTTGAGGCCACAGGAGCCGGGACAGGGATCGCGACACTTTTGATTGATGCACGCCTGATGACTGGGACACTCTGCATTGATGGAGCACTCTGGTCGGCAGTTGGGTGGCGTTCCCAAAAACTGGGGCAGGCAAGAGCACGAGGGTGTGCCATAGACATCGCGACACTGGGAATTGGCGCCACACGGCGAGGGCACACAGGGATCAAGTGGTTCTCTCTCTACAGGCACCTCTGGGGGAGCTGAAAATGGTTGTTTGATAGGGAATTTTTCCATGGTATTTGAAGATTTCTCTGTCGCTTACGGGGCTGACGGTAACAGCGTGTGAACGGATCTCCGGTGTATCCAATCAGACAGCTACAGATGGGATTGTGATTGCGAACGCGGCACTCGGCCTGCTGGCCGCAAACTCCGGGACAGGGATCCACGCATTTGCGATTCACACACGCCTTGTCGGCGGCACATTCAGAGCTGCTGGTGCACTCCGGACGACAGGCCGGGGGACTGCCAATGAACTCGGGCAGACAGGAGCAGACAGCTTGATCGTTGATCTCGCGGCAACGCGAGTTGGGACCGCAGGGTGACGGCTGGCAGGGATTCACATAGATGGGTACGGCTAAAAGAAGTCATACGACGGTCAGAGGGGATCATTTGGGGGGACAGAGGACAGGATAATCTTACGTGGTTCGTTCTCTACGATGCGACATTGAGTGTACGGGTCTCCGGTGTAACCAATCAGACAATTGCATGTGGCCAGATGATTGACCACCTGGCACTCGGCGCTCTGGCCGCACACTCCTGGACAGGGATCGCGGCACTTTTGATTCACGCACGCTCTGTTTGAGGGACAGTCCGAGTTGAGAACACATTCGGGCCGACAGCCATCGTAGGGATTGCCAAAGTATTCCGGCAGACAGGTGCAGGAGCCAGCTCCACCGCGCTCCTCGCACTTGGCATTGACGCCGCAAGGACTGGGATTGCAGGGCTGCAGCACCTCCACGGGTGCAGCTCGGACAGGGTTACACTGGCTGAATGGATCTCCAGTGAAGCCGTTCTCGCACAGGCACATGGCCGTGTGGCTAAACACCCGACAGTTTGCATTCTGTCCGCACAATCCAGGACAGGGATCAACACATTTCTGGTTGATGCAGGCTCTGTTGGTGGGGCACTCGGAGCTGGATATGCACTCGGGCTTGCAGTTGGGCGGAGCTCCAACGAACTCTGGCAGGCAGGAGCAGGATGGAGAGTCTCCAGAGACGCGACACTCAGAGTTGGCGCCGCAGGGCGAGGGCTGACAGGGGTTCTGTGGTCGATCATCGCGTTGTGGCAGCTGCTGGCAGCTGACGAACGGATTGCCGGACATGCCCGTGGGGCAGCTGCAGAAGGGACTGTGGTTGACAACGTTGCACAAAGCATTGAAGCCGCAGGTGCCCGGACAGGGATCGCGGCACTTCATATTCTGACACGACTGATCAGCCGGACAGTCCGAGTTGGTGACACACTCTGGTCGGCACTGGGGCGGACTGCCCACGTAATCCCGCAGGCAGGAGCAGACGGCAGTGTTCTGCACCACGCGACACTGACTGTTGGGTCCGCATGGCGTTGGCTGGCAGGGATTCTGTTGAATGATTGGCGCCGCCGGCACGGGACGACACTCGAAGAATGCATTGCCCGACATTCGATCGGGACAGCGACAGATGGGTATGTGATTTGTCACTTCGCAAAGGGCGTTCACGCCACAGGTGCCTGGACATGGATCTATGCACTTGTTGCGCACGCACGCCCGATCTCTGGGACAGTCCGTGTTCAGCACGCACTCGGGGCGGCAGGAGACATAGGGATCTCCCTGATATTCGGGTATACACGAGCACTGGCCATTGCGGCACACGGCATTCGAGCCGCAGGGCGAGGGATTGCACGGATCGTCGCTGACTGGTGGCGGGGATGTGGGCTCTGGTGGCTTGGGGTTGCATCTGGTGAATGGATTTCCGATATAACCATCGATGCAGGCGCAGAGCGGCGTATGATTGATGACACTACAGACAGCATCCAGGCCGCAAGCCCCTGGACAGGGATCGCGACATCGCTGATTGATGCACGCCCTATTGGCGGGACACTCGGCATTGATGGTGCACTCGGGGCGGCAGTTGGGCGCTTGGCCCATGAAGCTTGGCAGACAGGAGCACGCGGGCACTCCATTGATGTTGCGGCACTCGGAATTGGGGCCACAGGGCGTGGGCAGACAGGGATCTCTCAGTGGTTCTTGGATCCTTTCGGGCGGTGGCGCTGTTGGATCGGGACAGATTCTTCTGTCAGTTGGAATTCTTCCACAGAATTGGGCGGGCATACACTTACGTGGAATGGGGAAGCAACGAGTAAAGGCGTCACCAGTGAAGCCGCTGAGGCAACTGCAGATGGGACTGTGGTTGCGCACACGACACACGGCATTGCTGCCGCAAGTGTCGCCACTGCATGGATCGACGCACTTCTGGTTAACGCATGCCTGATGGCTGGGACACTCTGAGGAGATGGTGCACTCGGGCCGGCAGGCGGGTGGAGTTCCCACAAACAGGGGCAGACAGGAGCAAACGGCCTGCTCATTGGCCACACGACACTGGGAGTTGGGGCCGCAGGGCGAGGGCTTGCAGGGATCCACGTATTCGTTTTGTATTGCTAAAAGTGGGAATGGATGAGTGGATGAGGGAAGTAGAGTGGACAGATGTGTCTTACGCTCTTGCATTCGCGTGCATTGGCGGTAGGGATCACCCAGATATCCGGTGAGACAGTTGCAGGTCGGCAGATGGTTCACCACCTGGCATTGGGCATTCAGACCGCATGTTCCGGGACAGGGATCCTGGCATTTCAGCTGCTGGCACGCCCTGTTCGAGGGACAGTCCGAGTCGAGCATGCACTCGGGCCGACAGCCGGCATAGGGATCTCCAAAGTATTCGGGCAGACACTGGCAGGAGCCAGCCCCATTTCGATCGCGACACACGGCATTCGGTCCACAGGGACTGGGGCTGCACGGAGTGCTGACCTCAATATCGCGAATCATCTCGGGACTGCACTGCACGAATGGATCACCGGTGAAGCCCTGCTGGCAGATGCACTGCACCGCATGGCTCACCACACGACACTCGGCATTGAGGCCACATCGTCCGGGACAGGGATCGACGCACTTCTGGTTGACACATGCCAACTGGCTGGTGCAGTCCGAGCTCGTTACACACTCTGGCCGACAGTTCGGTGGCCGTCCAATGTAGCTCTCCAGACAGGAACAGGCAGGGGCTTCTTGGCCAACGGGGCGGCATTGGGAGTAGGGACCACAAGGCGATGGGCGACAGGGTTCGACTGGGACAAGATCACGTACGGGTTCAACTGGGAAGGAAAAATGTTAGGGGCAACAATCTCTTGGGGCTTTCTACCTTTCTGCTTACTTTGTGGCTGACAACGGATGAAGGGATTGCCCGTGAAGCGTTCGGGACAGGTACAGAAGGGACTGTGGCTGACCACAGCACATTTGGCACCCACGCCGCAGGTTCCAGGGCATGGATCACCGCAACGCTGGTTCAGACACGCTTGCGAGGGTGCACACTCGGAGTTTGAGGTGCACTCAGGGCGGCAGGATGGCGGGGCTCCGATATAGTTGGACAGGCAGGAACATACCGCTTGCTGGTTGACTTCGCGGCACTGAGAGTTCGGTCCACACGGTGATGGACGGCAGGGATTCGTTTCCACAATCGCTTGCTGAACGGGCGAGCAGCGGATAAAGGCACTGCCAGCGGTGCCATCCGGACAACGGCACATCGGAATGTGATTTATGACATCGCAAATGGCATTCTCTCCGCACGTTCCCGGACAGGGATTGTGGCACTTGCTGCGCAGACACGCCTTGTCCCTGGGACAGTCAGAGTTGAGGACACATTCTGGACGACAGCCGGAGTAGGGATCGCCATGGAATTCGGCCAAACAGCTGCAGACACCGTTGGAGCACTGAGCATTGGGACCACACGGTGAGGGGTTGCACGGATCGACATATTCACCTAGATATGATGGGATTTAGCAGTTAGGGAGAGGACTCGGCATCAGGGAACTACGAATTGGCTTACTTTGAACTGGTTCGGGTGGCGACACACGACAACTGCTGAACGGATCACCAGTATAGCCGACGGGGCAGACGCAAATTGGTGTATGATTCACCACATTGCATTCAGCACCGTAGCCACAAGAACCGGGACACGGATCAATACATTTTTCACGGATGCAAGCCAAATTCGAGGCACACTCGGCACTGATGGTGCATTCCGGACGACAGTTGGGCGGTGCGCCCAGGAACTCGGGCAGACAGGAACAGGAGGGCACACCCTGCACATTGCGACACTGACTGTTCAAGCCGCAGGGCGATGGCATGCAGGGATCACGATCAACACGTTGAATCACAGGCGGTGGGGCTAAAGCAGTTCTGTTAAATATCTCGGTTTTTGGGAGGGAGGAGTGGTTGTTGGTCTTACGTGGCAGAGCATAACAACGGGTAAAGGAATCACCGGTGAAACCTTGACGACACTGACAGAGTGGACCATGATTGCGCACCCGGCACTCGGCATTGATGCCGCATGTTCCAGGGCAGGGATCTTGACAGCGCTGACTTATGCACGCCTTGTCCGTGGCACACTCGCTGCTGAGCACGCATTCGGGACGGCAGTTGGGCGGCAGACCGATGTACAGCTCGAGACAGGAGCAGACGGCCTGGCCGTTGAGTTCGCGACACTGAGAGTTGGGGCCACACGGCGAGGGGCGACAGGGTTGTGTGGGTTCGGCCAGACGGATAGCTAGAAAGGGGACAGGTGTTGACAATCTCTGGATGGATCGCAGATGGATGGGTATCTTACGTTGCGCTGGCTCCACATGGCAGTAGCGGTAGGGATCACCTATGTATCCGATGCGGCATGTACAGGTGGGCAGATGATTCGTAACGCTGCAGTCAGCATTTGTGCCGCAGGTACCGGGGCAGGGATCGCGACATTTCTGCTGCTGGCAGGCCTTGTTCGTGGGACAGTCAGAGTTTCGGATGCATTCGGGGCGGCAGGACTGGTAGGGATCGCCAAAGTAATCGGGCAGGCACTGGCAGGAGCCGATCCCATTGCGTTCGCGGCACACGGCATTCGAGCCGCAGGGATTGGGTTCGCAGGGCGTTACCTGTTCATTGACAATGCGCTCTGTTTTTGTTTTTGTTTGTGTGTGTGAGTGGGTGGGTGGGAAAAGTGATTGAGTGGGAGAGACGGAGAAACGGAGGTCAGAGAATTGTTATTAAATATTCTTCAGTGGATCTCGGGTTTAGTAGAAAACAAAACACACACACACCTGGCGTTTGCTTTTGCGGCTCTGATTAATCCAATTGTTGTTATGACTATAGTACGAGTTAGGTGTCGGTTGGCATTTTATTTTGCATCAGTTAACGAAATTTGCAATTAAAATTGCATTTCAAGTGCTCCGCTAATTTAGTTTTGTTATACGCTGTGCGCTGCATGTGTTCGGCGATATTTACCGCTTTGCTTAGTGTGGTTAAACGCTGTGCGCTGCGTGGCTGTGTGCGGTGGCAGTTTAAGTGTTGTGTAAGTGCGGTGGTTGTGCCATTGCAATGGCTTTAAATTACTTGTTTATTTTTTTGGCGTGTCGTAAGTAAAACAAGTGTCTATTGCAGGGGTTATATCCTTGGATTTATTGATTTCTTTGGTTAAACTACAGTTTTATGTTATACATTTTAATACTCAAATTTTCTAGACTAGAATTTGGTTTAGATCTTTGGCGTGCCGTAGATTTTTTTTATTTTTTTTGGTAGGAGGGGTCAACAACGCAGTACTCAATTTGGGGTAATTGTTGGGTTAGGTTTCAATTTTTGTTGTTTTTGGTGTAGTAAGCAAGTGGAGAGAGACATGGTCTATTGGTGGGCCAAATAACGAATTAGGTAAAAGCATTTCAACGGATTTGTTTCCCTCCCAAAAAAATATGCGGAGTCAACAACAATCATCAAAGGGTTAAGAGGCAAGAGTCAAGGCGGGTGGTTTTTGGTGGGGGTGAGAGGAGGCATAATAGTAATGTTTGGTTTCGGTTTTTGGGTAAGGAAGCAAAAGGCGTGACAAGTTTGCATATTGTATATTCAGGCGTTAGGGGCAAAAGCAAATAAATATATAAAATCAATATTACAAATTTAAAACTAATTAAAACCTCTGATTACCCCCCGCATACAGACACTTTCAGCGTCACGTTCACTCCGACAGTTCGTACAGACTGCGTGCTCGTTGAAATTTGCATTTTGCGTATCGAAGTGAGAATGTGGAAACTCGATTTGGGTGTACAAAAAACTTCATTTTGCAATGCATTGTGCCAGTAAGTGCGGTAATCATAGATTTTAATGAATATATGTATGTATTTGTGTGCTGCCTAAGGAGCGTATTAGAACAAGTAACGCGTGTAGTGTAGAGGGAACAACACGTAGAGGTCTGCATGAATGTGGACCAGTGTATTCATTTTTGTGTTCCAAGTCGGAGTAAATTCTTTGCAGACCCCAAGAGATATTTAGTGCAAACAAATAGTGCCTCTAAGTGTATGGAATTTGCAATTGCAGCGGTCGCCATTGCAGTTTTGTGGTTGTAAAAATACTTCATTTATTCTAATACGCCAAGAACGAATGTGAAACTAAAAGTTTGAGGGATTTTACGAGGGGATCATGTCGGGGATTTTCTACGAGTTTCACATTCAATGTGGGACCTTCCAGGGCGTAAAATAATGTTTGCAGTGTGCATATAAGCTCTAGATCTTCAATAGATCTCATTTTTAGAGCGCATGTTGTACTGGGCGCCCAGTAAGCAGCAAACCAAAACCACAAAAATAAAAGCTGGTTTACGCCCCGGCCTAACTACTAAATATTTGTAAAAGATAAATGAAAACGGGGTCCTACCTTGCTCCTTTTGACAGCCGGTGAACGGATCTCCTGTATAGCCCACATCGCATGTGCAGATGGGTTGATGATTCGCCACATTGCAGCGAGCATTGAAGCCGCAGGCATTCACGCAGGGATCGGCACACTTCTGGCGTATGCAAGCCTTGGTCGGTGGACATTCCGGATTGATGGAGCACTCTGGCCGGCAGCTGGGCGGTGTACCAATGAAGGTGGCTGCGCACGAGCAGGCCGCATTGCCATTGAGCACCTTGCACTCCGAATTAGGTCCGCAGGGTGATGGTTGACAAGGTTCTGTTGGCGTTGGTGGCTTGCGTTCTTCCTGGAAGCAGCGCGTGAATGGATCTCCGGTGTAGCCAGAGTTACAGGAGCACGATGGATTGTGGTTGATAACTTGGCAGCGTGCGAACTGGCCGCAGGCACCGGGACAAGGATCCACGCACTTTCTTTGCACACAGGCCGTTTGCAGGGAGCACTCGGAGCTGACAATGCACTCAGGTTTGCAGGCGGGCGGGGAGCCCAGCATGCCTTGCTGGCAGGCACACACCGGTCCTTGCGCAGACACATGACACAGGCTGTTGGGACCGCACGGGTTCGGCTGGCATGGGTCCTTGGCCACGGGCGTCTCCAGGCGGCAATGCACGAACGGATCACCCGTGTAGCCCTGCAGGCAGCTGCAGATCGGTATGTGATTGGAGACATCGCACTGCGAGTTCTGGCCACACACTCCGGGACATGGATCGACGCACTTCTTGTTCAAACAGGCCTTGACGGGGGCGCAGTCGGTGCTGAGTGTACACTCTGGACGACAGCCCGTGTAGGGATCGCCCTGGTAGTCTCTCAGGCATGTGCATGTGCCCTGGTTGCATTCCGCATTGGCTCCACATGGTTGCAGGTCGCAGGGATCCTGTGGCTCGTTCAGTGGCGGCCTTGTGACCGTCTCAATGATCTCTACGCACTGGACAAACGGATCACCGGTGAATCCACCGCGGCAGGTACATATAGCCAGATGGTTCTGGATGCGACACTCGGAGTTGATGCCGCAGGAGCCGTCGCAGGGATCGCGACACTTCTCGGCAATACAGGCGCGATTCGACGAGCAGTCCGTGTTCACAATGCACTCGGGCCGGCAGTTGGGCGGCGCTCCAATGTAGTTGGGCAGGCAGGAGCAGGAGGCCTGCTCGTCACGCACGCGACACTCCGAGTAGAGGCCGCAGGGCGAGGGCTGGCAGGGTGTCTTCGAGACAGGCACGTCCTTCGGTCCGGCAATGGCTGGCGCTGGATAACAGCGAGCGAATGGATCGCCCGTCAAATCAGAGGGGCAGCTGCAGATGGGATTGTGGTTGATCACCTCGCACTTGGCATTGATACCGCACGTCTTGGCACAGGGATTGGCGCAGCGGAACTTGTGGCAAGCCTTGTTTGGCTGGCACTCGGCATTCACCGTGCACTCGGGCTTGCAGTTCGGTGGAACTCCAATGAAGTTCTCCAGGCAGGAGCAGACGGCCAGTCCGTTGGCAATGCGGCACTTGCTGTTGGCGCCACAGGGCGAGGGAATGCATGGATCGGCGACTGGAGGTGGTGTTGAAGGTTCCACTCGGCGACAGTTGGCAAAAGGATCGCCCGTGTGGCCATCAAGGCACACACAATTTGGCACATGATTCACGGCATAACACTGGGCATTCAGACCACAGATGCCCGGGCAGGGATCCTGGCACTTGTTCCTTATGCACGCCTTGTCCGTCGTACAGTCTGAGCTGAGCACGCACTCGGGTCGGCAGCCCTCGTAGGGATTGCCTTGGTACTCGTCGATGCACTTGCAGGCAGCAGCTCCGTTCCGTTCGATGCACTCGGCATTGGCTCCACAAGGCGAGGGTTGGCATGGCTTGATCGGCTCCTCCTGTTGCGGCACACACTGCACAAACGCGTTGCCAGCATATCCCACGGGGCAGGAGCAAGAGACAGTGTGTCCGATGACGCGGCACTCGGCGTTTGTGCCACACGAGCCGGGACAGGGATCGCGGCACTTGTTGTTGATGCACGCCTGCGTAGAGGCACAATCAGGATTGATGATGCACTCGGGTCGGCAGTTGGGCGGCGAGCCAAAGAACTCTGGCTGGCACTGGCACACGGGTCCACGCTCATCGGGCTTGCATATGGAGTTGGGTCCACAAGGCGAGGGCACACAGGGATCTCTTGGCGCTTCCTTAACATCTGGCGGTGGTGCCACAGGAATCTCTGTGCACTGCTTGAAGGGATCACCAGTTCGGCCCGGCGGGCAGCCACAGATGGGGCTGTGATTAATGACCTCACAGCGTGCCTCCAGGCCACAAGCAGCGGCGCAGGGATCCACGCACTTCTTGTTGACACACGCTTGTAGGGCGGAGCATTCGCTGGAGACAACGCACTCGGGACGGCATTGAGGCGGCGCCCCAATGTATCCTTCCAGGCAAGAGCAGACGGCATGTCCATTGACATCACGGCACTGGCTGTTCGATCCGCACGGGGATGGAGCACAGGCCTGGGGCTTGGGTGTATCTTCGATGGGCTTCACGCGGCAATTGGTGAACGGATCGCCTTCGTAGCCTTGCAGACACGAGCACACGGGTATGTGGTTCATCACCTCGCAAACGGCATTGTTGCCACAGATGCCGGGGCACGGATCCACACACTTGTTCCGCATGCAGGCCTTGTCCCGAGAGCAATCCGCCGATAGCGTACACTCTGGTCGACAGCCCTCGTAGGCGTTTCCTTGATAGTTATTCTGGCAGCGGCACTCACCGGCAAAGCAGTCGGCATTCGGGCCACAGGGACTCGGATTGCACGGATCGTTCTTGACAGGCGGCGGTGTCTTGCCTTCTGGTTTCTCTGTGCAGCGCACAAACGGATCGCCCTCGTAGCCCTCGATGCAGTTGCAAATGGGCAGATGATTCAGCACATGGCACTTGGCCTCGAAGCCACAGGAACCAGAGCACGGATCGCCGCACTTTTGATTGATGCACGCCTCCGTGGGTCCACATTCAGAGTTGAGGACACATTCCGGCCGGCAACGCGGTGGTGCGCCGATAAAGTTAGGCAGGCAGGAGCAGGCCGGACTATTGCCAACAATCTGGCACTTGGCATTGGGACCGCAAGGCGAGGGCACACAAGATGCCGCTGGTGGCTCTGGTGTCGTCACATCGTGTGTTATGGCTGTAGAACAAAAAACCTTTAGCATTTCTCTTTCACTCATTTGTCATATACTTACGTATCCTGGTGCACTGTACGAAGGGATCACCGGTCATGCCGCGTGGGCACGTGCAGATGGGGCTGTGGTTCTTGGTGCTGCAGATGGCACGAATGCCGCAGGTGTGCAGACATGGATCCACACACTTCTTGTTCACGCAAGCCCGCTCTGGGGCACACTCTGCACTGACTATGCACTCGGGGCGGCAGTTGGGTGGCTGATTGACGAAGCCTGACTGGCAGGAGCACACGGCCTGGTTGTTGATGCTGCGACAGTTGCTGTTGGGGCCGCAGGGCGAGGGATTGCACGGGTTAAGCGGAGGCCGTGGTGTAACCGGCACAGGCTTGCAGCTGAAGAACGGATCTCCACTGTAGCCTGGTGGACAGTTGCAGGTGGGCACATGGTTATCGACTGTACAGAGAGCGTACTCTCCGCACATATTATCACAAGGATCGATGCACTTGAAGCGTACACACGCCTGGGCGGCCGTGCACTCATCGTTGATCTCGCACTCGCGTCGGCAGCCGCGCTGGGCATCGTAGGGATTGCCTTCGAAGCCCTCATGGCAGTAGCAGGCGCCGGCTCCGTTGCGTTCGCGGCACTCGGCATGGGGGCCGCATGGCGACGGTTCGCATGGCGATGTGGGCGCTTCTGTGGGCAGGAGCAGGGGTATCAGCTGGCAGCCAAAGAGCGGCTCACCCTCGTAGCCATCGGCACAGGAGCAGACTGCATTGTGTTGTACCACCTGACAGACGGCATTGCTGCCGCAAGAGCCAGGGCACGGGTCAACGCAACGCTCCTGCTGGCAGGACAGATGATTCTGGCACTCGTCGTTGTTGGTGCACTCTGGCCGGCAGTTTGGCGGACGTCCAATGAAATTGGCATTGCAGGAGCAGGCCGCTTGGTTTCCGATCTCACGGCAAATTGAGTTGGGGCCGCAGGGCGAGGGCACACATGGGTTATCCGTGCTCTTGCCATCTTCGCTGGGTGAACAGCCGCTGATGGGATCGCCGGTCATGCCGGGCACACAGCTGCAAATGGGATTGTGGTTCACCACCTGGCACTTGGCATTATTGCCGCACGATCCGCGACACGGATCGGCACACTTTTGGTTGATGCACGCGCGATTCTGGGGGCACTCAGAGCTGACAACACATTCCGGCTTGCAGCTGGGCGGCGCTCCGATGTAACCTTCCAGGCAGGAGCACACCGCATGGCTGTTCGTGTCCAGGCACTGGCTGTAGGGTCCGCAGGGTGAGGGCTGGCATGGGTTCTCCGGTCGTCGTGTGACAACTTCAATCGGTTCGCACGAACGATGCGGATCCCCGGTGTATCCTTCGAAGCAGTTGCAGTTGGGACCATGGTTCAGGACACGGCACTCGGCATTAATGCCGCATGCACCGGGACAAGGATCCTGGCACTTGCTGTTGATGCAGGCACGGGAGCGATCGCAGTCATCGTTTTGTACACATTCCGGTCGGCAGCCACTGTACGGATCGCCAAAGTATTCTGGCAGACAGGTGCAGGAGCCAGCGCTGTTGCGCTCCCGACACACGGCATTAGCACCGCACGGACTGGGATTGCAGGGATTACGTGGCGCCTCCGTTGGGGTAACTATACAGGAAAGAAAATAATGAAAAAATCGGGGAGTGAGTTGAGGAGGGTTACGTATACGTTGGCATGCAATTGATATATACTTTGCTGTACAACAGCACAGCCGGAGAACGGATCGCCGGTGTAACCAGGCACGCATTCGCATGTTGGACGATGCTTGATCACCTGGCACAGAGAGTTCTGGCCACAAGCTCCAACACACGGATCTGCGCAACGCTGATTGACACACGCGAGATTCGCCGGGCAGTCGGCACTACTCATGCACTCGGGCCGACAGTTTGGCGGCCGTCCGAGGTAGTCCGGCAGACAGGAGCATGCAGGGGAACCGCGCACATCAATGCATTTCGAGTTGGCTCCGCACGGTGAGGGTACACAGGGATTACCGGTCTTTTCGGTTATTGTGGGCTCCACTACACATAGCCAATAGCCAATAGCCATAGTCAATATATCCATGCCATAAACACACAATTTACACATAACAATTACATAGGTAGTCGGATAGATCGGAGATAGATTGGAGTTGGAGTTTGAGTTGGATGGATAGTAGTTTACATAGTGTACATAAAATCACAAAAACATAAAATAGAGAAATAGAAAAAATCAAACATTAAAGTAAAGAGTGTATAATACATGCAATAGGAGGGAATGGAGTATCGGGGCACACGGTTGCCATGCACAAGAGAGAGGGGTATCCATTATAATACCATTTTAGGGGACATTAATAAAAGTATACGTCGGAATATAATTAGTGACAGGGTTACCGTCAGTGTTCACGCTTTCGTTGTTCTTCACTTTCTTTGCCGTACCAACTGCTTGGGCCTTCCTCTCTCTTCGTTAGCTCAAACACTAACACCAACACAGAAGAGCAATGAGATAAACAGTGGACAAGACGGTGCGTGCATTAAACGGTAAACGATGCAAACGGTAAAGTGCAAAGAAGACAATGAAAGGAAACACTGGAAGCAATTTCGTAGTGAATCACGAAAAACAAACTGCAAACAATATTAAGATCCGACATATACTTAAAGATTATAAAACACAACAAGTGAAACAGCAAAATACAGGTGGCAACCGTGATTAGGGCAGTGCAAGCCAATTGTTTGAATTTTATATCCTCCAATTGGCTTGCACCTCCTTCGAATGGGACTTCTAGACATGCTTACACAATATTTTCGTGCATCGATTGAAGGGATCGCCGGTGTAGCCTGGGGCACAGGAGCATGCAGGATAGTGGTTTATGACCTGGCAACGTGCCTCAATGCCGCATGTGCCCGGACACGGGTCCACACACTTTTGATTCTGACAGTTGAGATCTTGGGCACAATCGGAGCTTATGATACACTCGGGCCGACAGTTGGGGGCAGAGCCAACGAGTCCGGGCTGGCAAGAGCACACGGCATGGTTATTGATCTCCCGACACTGGCTGTACGGACCGCAGGGCGAGGGTCTACAGGGATTCACATCGGCCAGGGCTGGGGGAATGGGTTTTAGTCGGGATTAAGTCTTTTTTGATTCATTTCGGATTTCAGTCGGAAAACCTACGTGGTGGTGGCAGTTGGGGTATTTCACGGCATGCACTAGAGGGATTTCCTGTGTATCCGGCCAGGCAGGAGCAGCTGGGCAAGTGATTGGACACACGACACTCGGCGTTCAGGCCACAAACACCCGGACATGGGTCCACGCATTTCTGGTTGACGCACGACTTGTCGCGTGAGCAGTCGCTATTCACCACGCACTCGGGTCGACAGCCACTGTACGGATCGCCAAAGTACTCTGGCAGACATGTACAGGAGCCGGCGCCATTGCGTTCACGGCATTCGGCATTGGGGCCGCAGGGCGAGGGTTGGCAAGGTGTCAGGCGTTCATCGGGTTCGGGCAAGGCTGCAGGTCACGGACGAAACGAGATTAGGTCGAATATCAAACGGGAGGGAAGAAAGCATCGAAGTGACGCGCTTACGTTGCGGATTGCAGCCAGCAAATGGATCGCCAGTGTAGCCATTGTCGCAGGAGCAGATGGGCGAGTGGCCAACGACACTGCAGAAGGCATTGAAGCCGCACGAGCCCGGACACGGGTCTATGCAGCGCTCATTGATGCACGCCAGATTGGCAGGACACTCGGAATTGAGAGTACACTCTGGTCGGCAGTTGGGGGCACGGCCCACGAAGTTGGGCAGACAGGAACAGACGCCAGTCTCGCCCACAACGCGACATTGGGAGTTGCGACCGCAGGGACTGGGCACACAGGGACTCTCATTGGACTTCGGCTGTTCCGGTTCTTGTTGCCGTGGGGCGCATCGCACAAACGGATCACCAGTGAAGCCACTGGGGCACGAGCAGATGGGATTGTGGTTCGTCACCTTGCAAATGGCCTCGTGGCCGCAGGTTCCGGGACAGGGGTCTACACAGCGCAGATTCACGCAAGCTCTGTCTTGGGAGCACTCGGAACTGACCGAGCACTCTGGTCGACAGGCGGGCGGAGTGCCCACATAGTTGGTCGTGCACGAGCAGACCGCATGTCCGTTCACCTCGCGGCACTGGCTGTAAGGGCCACAGGGCGACGGGCGACATGGCTGGACAGGCGGGGCCACTAAAATTCAACGGGAAATAAAAAGCATTGAACCGAGGTGTTTCAGGAGATCGTGAGAAAAGGATAGACCCTACATTTTGGTATTTCCCGGCAGTACTGTGATGGGTTGCCCGTGTATCCGGAGGGGCAGCTGCAGCTAGGCGCGTGGTTAATCACATGGCACTCGGCGGAGACTCCGCACACGCCGGGGCAGGGATCGCGGCACTTGTTGTTGAGGCAGGCGCGATTCTTCGAACAGTCGCTGTTCAGGACACACTCCGGCCGGCATTCGGTGTACGGATCCCCACTGTATTCGGGCAGGCAGGAACAGGAGCCAACGCCGTTGCGCTCGTTGCACACCGCATTGGCGCCGCAGGGACTGGGATTGCAGGGCTGTGCCACCTCGGGCGTTACGATAACTAAATTAATGAAGTGGGGAAAGGGTGGCAGTTTAGCAATGTGGGGCAATAACATTGGCGTTGCGTCAAACACTCTTTGACTTGTTTTGACCCTTACTTTGTGGACTACACTCGGAGAATGGATCGCCCGCATAGCCTTCGAGGCAGCGGCAGATCGGTCTATGATTATTTACAAGACATGTGGTCTGACTGCCGCAGGTACCCACGCAGGGATCCCGGCACCGCAGATTGATGCATGCCATGTTGCCGGCACACTCCGAGTCTGAGGTGCACTCGGGTCTGCAATTTGGCGCCCTACCCACATAATGTTGCAAGCATGAGCAGACGGCCTGCTCATTAGCCGCCGAAACCCGACACTGAGAGTTTGGCCCACATGGCGATGGAACGCATGGCTCGACACGATCATGGACGATGGGGCGTTCTAAATGTAACATCACACCACGACACCAGGACACCACAAATATGATAACAGCATGCACAAAGATAAGCCATACAAAATAGAGTACATATAAAAGAGATAATAAAGTAAAGATATAGTATAAATATAAAGAGGATGATGTCAAGCATGGAATGAAATGGAGAAAGTACTAGGAGGGGCACTTCCATTGATGGGCGATGATGAGAGATCATTTCGGTTTGTATACCCTTGCAGATGCATTTACGAGAATAATGTGCCCTATCATAGGTAGTCGTCGAAGAATAAATCACAGAGAAATGCAAGCAGTTGTGAGCTAGATCGGATCCAAGCTGGAAACTGGATAGTTTCGGGACTGTCGGACCATCGGATAAACATGTCGCAGTCTTCAAAAAGTACTTTCTCAATTCTCTCAATCTGCAAAGGTATTCGAACCTTCGGCTGGCCGAAACTAATCGAGTTTTGCCTTCGATTCTTACTTTCTTGTGGGAAACAGCGGACGAATGGATCACCGCTGAAGCCGGGACTGCAGGAGCAGATGGGATTATGGTTAACGACACGGCAGAGCGCATTGTTGCCACAGGTGCCCGGGCAGGGATCTTTGCACCGTTCGTTCAGACACGACTTGTCCTGTGCGCACTCCGAGCTGCTCATGCACTCGGGTCGGCAGTTGGGCGGAGAGCCAATGTAGTTGGGTACACAGGAGCACACTGCATGGCCATTGACCGGGCGACAGTTGCTGTAGAGGCCGCAGGGCGAGGGTTGGCATGGATTTTCGGGTACTATAGGATCGGGATCTAGATCGGGCAGGAGGGCGGTAAATGGCGACAATTAATAGGGTTTCAAGTGGGGGCCTAACTTTTGGGTGGGTCTTACAGCGTGGTGTCTCGGGCACCAGGTGACAGCCGACAATGGGATTTCCCGTGTAGCCGGGCAGGCATTCACAGTTGGGCGCATGATTGAAGACAGCACAGAGGGCGCTATGACCGCACATTCCGGGACAGGGATCGACGCATCTCTGATTAACGCAGGCACGCGACTTGGGACAGTCCGAATTGATGACGCACTCGGGGCGACACTCAGTGTACGGATCCCCAAAGTATTCGGGCAGACATTTGCAGGCAGCAGCGCGATTTCGCTCCTCGCACAAGGCATTCAAACCGCAAGGACTGGGACGACATGGTTGAGAGACCTCAATAGGCGCTATGTTGGCACAGAAATGAAGGGGTTTGAGTATTTTGGACAACTGCTGAGAGTATTTCCCTAGAAGGACCTACTTTCTAAGATCTTGAAGCAGCCGGAGAAGGGATCGCCGCTGAACCCAGGCTCGCACATGCACACGGGTGCATGCTGGCTGACGTGACAGAGGGCATTGTTGCCGCAGGAACCGATGCACGGGTCGGCACAACGCGCATTCATGCAGGCCATCCGGGCGGGGCACTCCGAATTTATGCTACACTCTGGCCGGCAGGCCGGTGGACGTCCAATGTAGTTGGCCACGCAGGAGCACACGGCTCCGGTGCTGGCCACCTGGCACTGAGAGTTGGGGCCGCAGGGCGATGGCACGCAGGGATTCAATGGCACGATGGGGTCTGGTATTGGCGCTGGTTCTACAAACATACGACATTTCAATTGGAGGCGCTATCCAGGGGAGTATTTGTTTGAGGGGAAACCTACTTCTTTCGGGCAGACACTGGTGGAACGGATCTCCAGTGTAGCCATCGATGCAGCTACAAATGGGGGAGTGATTCGTGCAGCGACAACGCGCATTGTAGCCACAGGTGCCGGGACAGGGATCGCGGCAACGTTGATTGATACAGGCCCTATCCGAGGGACATTCCCCACTTGTGCGGCACTCGGGCTTGCAGTTGGGCGGAACACCAAGGTAGTCCGGCAGGCAAGCGCAGACGGGATGATCGCCAGCCACGTGGCAAGTGCTAAACAAGCCACAGGGCGATGGTCTACAAGGATCTTTGGGCAAGGGCAGGTACATATCTAAGAAGAGGATGGGCATAACATATTTAGAGTGGACTCTTTGGGTCATTCTTGGTTGGGCATACTTGAGGGACGTTCGACGCATGCGCGCTGTGGATTGCCCGTGAAACCGGGCTCACAGCTACACACCGCCTGGTGATGGGCCACTCGACAGATGGCATTGAAGCCACAGGCATTTTCGCAGGGATCGCGACACTTCATATTGAGGCAGGCCCTGCTCGCGGGGCAGTCACTGTTCTGCACACACTCGGGGCGGCAATTAATGTAGGGATCACCGAAATAATTCTGGATGCAGCTGCAGGAACCGGCACCGTTGCGTTCGCGACAGATGGCATTCGCACCACATGGGGATGGGTGACATGGATCGGCGGGTTGGTCCAGGACCACGACTATCATAGCAAGCAAGGATAGGAATGGATATAGATATAGATACAGGATGTGGATACAAACACAATAGACTTAAAGCTAAAATGGATTCTACAAAATGTACACAATAAACAATACAAAAACATGCATAAATAAATGAAAATGAAAACCAAAAGCCATTTACGTCTAGAGCACCACTGAAAGGAACATGTAACATTACGAGCACACATCCTGCGCTCTTGGAAAGGATAGCTAATACTCTGGAAAATGTGTACTCACTCTCTCGCATATTGCAACCGGTGTACGGGTCGCCCTCGAAGCCCTCAATGCAACCGCACTTGGGCTGATGGTTCTGTGTGGAGCACTGGGCATTAAAGCCACAGATTCCAATGCAAGGATCCTCGCATCTTTGTCGTATGCAAGCGCGATTCGATGGACAATCTTCATTGATAACGCACTCGGGTCGGCAGCTCGGTGGAGCACCGAACATGCCCTGAGCACACGAACATTCAGCGCGATTATTCACATTCCGGCAATTGGCATTGGGTCCACATGGACTGGGCAGGCAGGGATCCACATTGCGTGGAGGTTCAGATGCTGCAGGTAACCCAAAATGTTGCATTAGATATGAAGCTTTACTCAATGCATAGATTCGACTTACGCTTGGGCACACATTGCTCGAAGGGATCGCCTATGTAGTCGCTGGGGCAGGAGCATATCGGATTGTGGTTTTTCACTTGACACTTGGCATTGAAGCCGCAGGTTTCGGCACAAGGATCGGCACACTTCTGGTTGATGCATGCCAAATGCTGCGAGCACTCCGAGCTGACAACGCACTCGGGCCGGCATTGGGGCGGGGCACCAAAGTAGCCAACCTGGCAGCTGCACGTGGGATGGCCTTCCACCGTACGGCAGATGCTGTTGGGTCCACAGGGGTTGGGCTCACAGACGCTCACAGGTCCCACGGGCATACGCTTGCAGCCCACGAACGGATCGCCCTCGTGGCCACGCGAACAGATGCAGGATGGCAAGTGGTTAACCACCGCACACTCGGCATTGGGTCCACAGGCACCGGTGCAAGGATTGCGGCAGTGCTGCTTGATGCAGGCCAACGACGAGGGGCATTCCGAGCTGTAGATACATTCGGGACGGCATCCAGTGCTGTACGGATCGCCAAAGTATGGCTCAATGCAGCTACAGCGAGCTGCATTGTTGTGTGGGGTGCACACAGCATTCTCAGCACAAGGATTGGGATAGCAGGGTCCAAAGTCATCACCGGATTCTGTGTGGATAAGAATTATTAATACAAAATCCATCGTAAACCGAATGTGCTACGACTTACTCTCTTCCTTTGTCTGGGAGCAGCCGATGAAGGCATCTCCCTCGTAGCCCTGGTCGCAGCTGCAGTGAGCAGAGTGCGCGATGACCGTGCAGCGGGCATTGTGTCCACAGACATTGGCGCACGGGTTCTGGCACTTCTCATGGATGCAGGCCTTGTCCGAGGGACACTCGCTGCTGAGGGTGCACTCTGGCCGACAATAGGGCGGGCTGCCGATGTAGTTGGCCACACAGGAGCAGACGGGTCGGTTCTGTTTGATCTGGCATATGGAGTTGGGTCCACAGGGCGAGGGCACGCACGGATTCTTGGGCAGATCAACCTCACGTCCCGGCTCGGGTATGGGCGAGCAGGCAACGAACGGATCTCCCTCGAACTTTTGCTCGCAAGAGCAAATTGGATTGTGATTGAGAACCTCACAGCGTGCTCCGACACCGCAGATACCGGGACAGGGATCTGCGCATCTCTGATTCAGACATGCCTGATTGGGGGCACACTCGGAGCTGACGACGCACTCGGGCTGGCAGACAGGCGGTGCACCCTTGAAGTTGGGCAGGCAGGAGCAGGCGGCATATCCCTCGGAGGTGGCCAGACAACGTGAGTTGGGACCGCAGGGCGATGGTTCGCAAGGATGTGGTCGCACTATGGGCGTTGAATCGGGTGGCAGATAGTAGGGATTGCACGAAATGGATGCATCTCCACTATAGCCCTCGGAACAGATGCACACTGGAGCATGGTTCACCACACGGCAGACGGCATTGATGCCACACACGCCGGAACAGGCCTCCACACACTTGGAGTTCATGCAGGCCTTATCCGCAGGGCAGTCGCTATTGAGTACGCACTCTGGGCGACAGCCGATATGTGGATCACCAAAGTATCCCTTACGGCAGACGCAGGCGAGGCCACCGGGGGCGCGCTTGCATTCAGCATTGGCACCGCACTGCAGCTTCGCGCAGCTTGGCGCGGGTGTTGGCACAATTGCCGACTGAATGGTGCACTGTTCGTAGGGATTTCCATAGAGACCCGCGGGGCAGGAACACACCGGATTATGCTCGTACACATTGCACGCGGCATTGCGACCGCAGGAGCCGGGGCAGGGATCGAGGCAGCGCTGACCCAAACAGGCACGATCGAAGGGGCAGTCGGAGTTGGCCACGCATTCCGGTCGGCAGCGGGGATTCTGCTGGGCATTGGGTCCAAAGCAGGGATCACACAATGCCACACCATCGCCATAGACCGAGCATACGTCGCGCGGTCCACAGGGTGACGGGGCACACGGGTCACGGGAAACGTTCTTCAAAATGCCAATCGGAACGCACTGCAGGAAGGCATCGCCGGCGAATCCGTCCAAGCAATGGCACACTGGCGTATGCTGGCGGACATTGCAAATGGCATTGATACCACAAATGGCACCCGCACAGGGATCCACGCACTTGTGGTTGATGCACGACAAGGTCTCGCCACAGTCCGAGTTGATGTCACATTCCGGCTGGCAGCCCGACTCAGGATCGCCCAGGTAGCCGGGAATGCAGGAGCAAACGGCGCGATTGTTGAGCAGCTTGCACTCGCTATTAACGCCGCAGGGACTGGGCACACACGGATTGGTCTTCGGATGGTCAAGGGCATAGCAACGAACTCCTGGGTTGCCAGTCAAGCCAGCATTGCACGAGCACACGGGATGGTGCTCCTCAACGCGGCAGTTGGCTCCATGACCGCAAGCTCCGGGGCATGGATCGTAGCAACGGAAGCCCATGCAGGCTTTGCTGTGCGGACAATCGGCATCCACCTGACACTCATAGCCGTGACAGCCCACAAGAGATGTTGGGTCCCCTGAGAGACCTTCGGGGCACACGCAGGCAGTTTGTCCATCGCCGGCCACAACGCAATTGGCATTGGGTCCGCATGGATTAGGGTCGCAGACGGTACGACTTGGCTCGCGGCATCCTTGGTAGGCATCGCCCACATAGCCAGAGCGACAGTAGCATTCCTCACGATTGCCGGCCACATAGCAGTCGGCATTCCGGCCACAAGGACCAGGCTGACAGAGCTCAACCGACACCGCGGGCTTCTCGCACAGCCTGAAGGGATTTCCAATCTTGTTGTCTGGACAGTAGCACACTGGCTGACGCGACGAGTCGCAGATGGCTCCAGTACCACATGGACTAGGATCGCATGGGTTAATGGGCTCCACACAGCCACGAATGGTGTTCGGACTCTCCACGTAACCCGGCAAGCAGGTGCACTTGGAGAAGCCGTTGCTCAGGACAGAGCACTGAGTGTTGGGGCCGCATGGCGATGGATCGCATGGGTTGGATGGCAGCTCGCAGGCTATCGACGGTGGCTGACCCTCGTATTCGGGCAGGCAGAAGCAGATGGGTTGACCATCAACGCGACGACATCCAGAGTTGGGTCCGCATGGATTCGGTGTACATTCATCGCCTTCCGGGACTGATTGAACAAGATTAATTAGTTTTTTGTTAATTGGTGGATAATTCTTGAAGGAATACTTACTGCAATTCTTGAATGGATTTCCCGTGAGTCCCTTGGGACAATAACAAATCGGATTGCCGTTGTCCAGTTCGCACAGGGCACTGAGGCCACAGGGATTGGGATCGCAGGGATTCTGCGGTGGACTGCAGCCCACCTGGGGATTTCCATTATATCCAGGCGGGCACTTGCACACCCCACGATGGTTGATCACATCGCAGAGGGCAAAAGCTCCGCACTGGCAGGGCGATGCACACTTTCCATTGATGCAGGCCTGACTAGAATCGCACTCGGTGTCGGCACGACATCCCTGCAGCGGTGAACACTGCACATAGGCATTGCCCAGAAAGCCGGGCAGACAGCGACAGTCGGTGCCGTGGTTGATGGGTACGCACTCGGCATTCTCGCCACAGGAATCCTCTTGGCAGGGATTGATGCAGCGACGATTGAGGCGATCGCAAAGCTTCGTCGGTGGACAGTCCTCGTTGTATTGGCAGACATGGGTGCGTGCTATTGTTTTGGGTTACGATTACGGGTGCGAGATTCAGGTTGTACGATTTGTGGGTGTATTTATAGTTGAGGTGTCGGGACGGTACAAGTTTTATACATGGTGTATACATGGTGTACGGGTATTTGTACAGTGTTTATGAAAGAGAGAGCATTTGGGAAACGAAACGATGTGTAAGATTAGCAAAGGACTCGTTGGAGGACAACAGAAATGTGCCATATAGTGTGTACTATAGCTCTTTGGCGATACTAACCTGGCTGACAGCCGACACGTCCATTGCCCTGGAAACCATCGCCGCAACTGCAGTCCGCAGCATGGTTGGTGTTGATGCAAATGGCATTCGTGGCACAGGGATCATGGACATCGCATGGATGCTGGCATCTCTGATTAATGCAAGCCTCCGTGACGCCGCAGTCGGAATTGTCTGTGCATTCAACTGGAATGTGAATCAATTTTATTAAAAAATGTCTGACATAAATATATTTCGATGGCATTTATGCCTCGTTTAGTTTTTCCCATTTTCTGATTTATTTTTACTGATTAATTTGATTAGTGCCTTACTTGAGGTTTCGGTGGGCACACACTTGACCATTGGATTGCCCTCATGTCCCTGCGGACAGGTGCATATGGGTCGATGACTCTTAGCCGTACACTTGGCACTTGCAGCGCATATCTTGGCAAATTCGCACGGATCCTGGCACAGACCCATATAACAGGCCTCGCTCTCAATGCAATCGTTGTTCGATTGGCAGGGCTCTGGTGTTTTCGGTGAACCCGGTGGCTCTACTTGTTAGAAAGGATTTAGTGAGTTAAAGGCGTTAAACATTTGATGATTGTTTTAAAAATGGCTATGGCTATGGCTAGAGTATGTACAATTTTTACAAAATTATTTGGTAGATCAAAAAAAAACAAGCCCTATACATAAGAATTTATAAATGCAGATTTATATGTACAATAGAGGCGCTCTTGCCACTTTGGGATCTTTGAACATTAATTGATTAGGAACAGTGTCAAAGAGTGATTTCTGTGTTAGAGATCTGCAAGAATACACACAAAATCAGCTACGTTCCTTCGAAATTCTATTAAATAAATGAGTGTGTAAGGAGGTAGACATTCGCACTACCCAAGTTCAAACGTCTCTTTATAACACAAACATATATTTGAACTAGCAATGTCTCAAATAAAACGAATAAACGTAGTTCAATGGCTGCAAAAAAATGGATTAAATTAATTCGCATGGTTACTTATTTTTGGTATTTAAATATTAATTCCCTACTCATTAAATTCAAGCTTTAAAACTCCCATTGAGTGTATTCCTGCAGACCTTTAGTGTGTCTGCTGGGAATAGAGATCCCAAAGTGGCTTGCATTTCACTTATGAAAATGGTAAATAAATATACCTTTCTTATGGCAATTGCCCAGCTTACAGTGCTCGTTAGGAGCACAGTTAGTATCTACTGTACATGGGTTAATTAATGAGATGTCAGTGGTGGTCGTGCCGTTGTTACCCGCCAGAGGGACAATTATTGTGCTGTACATCTCCGTTGTGGTGCCATCAGTGGTTGGCAGCTCGATGGGCCAGTTCGTTGTCGTATCGGGAACTTCATTGGATGTATCCAGACGCGTTGTCTTCATCTTTGGCGTTGTTGTGGTGCGCCGATCACTGTAGCTATCTTCACCACCCAACTTGGTCGTTGCTACCGATGGCCTTGCCGTCGGCGTATCGGTTATATTATTCTCACCATCACGGTACCGCCTAGTGGCATCCGTATGGGATGTTGTGCTTTCGGTGTCTGGTGTTTTACTCTTAATGGTTGTTTGGTTAGTAGCGCTAGTGGTTGCTGTGCTCGATTCAGTGCTAGTGGAGGTAGTGGTGGTGGTGGTGGTGGTCGGTGTTGGTTTTTTGACACCTGTGTTTGGGTTAGCAGTTGTTGTGGTTGTTGTTTTGGTTGTAGTTGTTGTTGTTCTTGGTGTTGGTGTTGGTCTCTTGGTTGTTCTTTGTTTCTTGGTAGTACTAGTAGTTATTGTTACATTAGCTAAGGAGAGAGACGGGTATTTACACGGGTAACCGGGAGGTTATTTTATATTAGACATATATGTACACATTGTATTTACACGTTTAGTGTTAAGTATTTAGTAATAATTAGCTAGGACTTTGGCGAAGAGGACTTACCCTTGATACAAGCACCAGTGGTGGGATCGCAATTGGCACCCGGCAGGCAGTGCTCACAGCCAGGAGTGCGACCCATTTCTGCATTACGCATTAAAAGTAAGAAAAGTTTTTGTTTTGCGAAGAGAAAGACACCTACCTGCAGAGCAAAAAGGCTGATGGTTGAGAACACGACAATCTTCGGTACGGCTGCACGGATTACTGTAGGTACAGGGATCCACGCAAAGCGTATTGATGCACGCCTGCTGAGTGGGGCACTCATCACTTGATGCGCAACCGATTTCTGTTGGTGCCAGAGATTAATTCGATTAGTTGGGCTCATCTAGAAACAACTTATAGTTTGGCACACACGTGCATTAATATATTGGTCGTTAAACATTAAGTCATTCCTTTTTGGTCAAGAATCCTGTTCGGTAGGTAGTTTCTCTTTCAATTAAATCATTTCAATGCAGTTAGTATTCGAATTCTTCAATATTGGTTCTTTAGTCTCAATAATTGTAGCCACATTAAATACTAGCAGGCATTATTATCCATTAGTTAAATATTTTATGTTTAAGCTGTTGCTTCAAACAACATATACACATGCAAAAGCATTAGGGGGTTAGTGCATTTCGTAAACTACTATTTAATACAATATCCATTTTAATACTAAGGGTTTTTAGGGTTATAACTTAGTAATCCATCTACCACCACATGCAGCTAATACAGTCGGATACACTTACGGTACATGATAATGTTCAACTAAAACGAGTATATGTACTAAATACAACAGAAGTCAACACAGATATAAAAAAACACACACAAAAAATTGAAAATGTGTCGACACGCCGAGAGAGAACATGCGAGTGGAAATCATAATTCCAAAACATAACGATAAACATTCAAGATGATAACAAAGGTTTTGGATTTGATTTGATGAGATTTGCAGCAGGTAGGCAGCAGGATGACAAGCAGGCAACTAAAACATGAACGAGCAAACATTGCAAACATTGAAAGGACATGCAAACGACTGAACGCTAAACGGTGAGAAGAACTCCAATGGATTGGCATTCAAAGGCCAGTTCGAACTATTTCAGGTGTTCTATTTTGGTTGGTGAAGAAGATTGATTGGTGGGTGGGTGGGTGGTTTGGTTGATTCGGTGCAAAACGTAGATCGAAGGACAGCCAGAAGAGAAGCAGTACGAGCAATAATAAGAAGGGAGTGGAGACAAATGTGAAGGAAGAAGTAGCGCATGATAACCGCAAAAGGCACAAAGAACACAGGGGGGACTTGCGAGGAATAATAACACAAATGGTAGCATGCATGTGCCCCCACAAATCTGATGGCTGCTCATACATGAACATATATATGGGATTATATGCCACAAGTAGAGGGGGATAATGGCTGGAAATCCAAGAGAAGAGATAGATTGAAGTAGGCTACTACGATTTGCCAGTTATATGTATTGGCGTTGAATGTAGTCGGCGCCACAATACCGCAACCCTGTGGTTCCTTGCACTTCATTCAATATATGATTCGATATCAAGACTTACAACTTATATACACAACTTTAGTTACCTGCTTTCATAGAGCAATCGGGTCTATTTACATCAGCGGCTGTATCACAAAAGCACATTGTGGTGTGGTTCAATGTACGACAGACAGCCAAATTTTGCACAGGGCAAACATTTTCATAGTATTCACAAGGTGATATGCATATGCCTGCCACACATGTCTCATCGTCAGAACAGTCGTCGTCGGTCATACAACTAATTGTCGGAGTAACAGTTGCAAATCTATCAGTGGCATTTGGCATACCATCCAACGAACTTGGCGTTACTCCCGATATAGGAGCGGGCACTGTTTCCTTTGAAGCAGAGGGGATGGTGGAAGGTCTAACAGATGCTTCTGTGGTGTAATCGGTAATTTGGGTACTATCTTGAGGAAGGGACGTGGTTGTTCCAGAAGCCGTGGTTGAAATGGTTGTTTCCCCAGAAATCGGCACTACAGTCCTCGGGACACCTTCAGTGGTATAATCGGTCATTCCCATTTTAGTGGTGTCTAGGGGAATGGCTGTGGTAGTTTCAGAAGCCAGTGGACTAATGGTTGTTTCCCTAGAAATAGGTACTACTGTTGGTACAGTTTTAGGAGCTCCTTCTGTAGAGTAATCGGTAATTCCCATTCTGGTGGTGTCTTGGAGAATGGCTGTGGTAGTTTCAGAAGCCAGTGGACTAATGGTTGTTTCCCTAGATATCGGTACTACAGTTGGTACAGTCCTAGGAGCTCCTTCGGTAGTGTAATCGGTCATTCCCATTCGGGTAGTGTCTTGGGGAATGCCTGTAGTAGATTCGGAAGCCAGTGGACTAATGGTTGTTTCCTTAGAAATCGGTACTACAGTTGGTACAGTCCTAGGAGTTCCTTCAGTGGTATAATCGGTCATTCCCATTCTGGTGGTGTCTTGGGAAATAGCTGTGGTAGTGTCAGAAGCCAGTGGCCTAATGGTTGTTTCCCTAGAAATCGGCACTACAGTTGGTACAGTCCTAGGAGCTGCTTCAGTGGTATAATCAGTCATTCCCATTCGGGTAGTGTCTTGGGGAATGCCTGTAGTAGATTCAGAAGCAAGTGGAGGAATGGTTGTTTCCTTAGAAATCGGTACTACAGTTGGTACAGTCCTAGGAGCTCCTTCAGTGGTATAATCGGTCATTCCCGTTCTGGTGGTGTCTTGGGGAATAGCTGTGGTAGTTTCAGAAGCGATTGGCCTGATGGTTGTTTCCCCAGTGATCGGAACCAAAGTCGTTACAGTTCTTGGGACACCTTCTGTGGAATAATCTGTTATTCCCATTCTAGTGGTGTCCTGGGGAATGCCTGTGGTAGTTTCAGAAACCAATAAACTGATAGTTGTTCCCCTAGAAATCGGTACTACAGTTGTTACAGTCCTAGGAGCTCCTTCAGTTGTATTATCGGTCATTCCTGTTCTGGTGGTGTCTTGGGGAATAGCTGTGGTAGTTTCAGAAGCCAGTGGACTAATGGTTGTTTCCCTAGAAATCGAAACAACAGTTGATACAGTCGTAGGAGCTCCTTCAGTGGTATAATCGGTCATTCCTGTTCTTGTGGTGTCTTGGGGAATAGCTGTGGTAAATTCAGAAGCCAGTGCACTAATGGTTGTCTCCCTAGAAATCGGCACTACAGTTGATACAGTCCTAGGAGCTCCTTCAGTGGTGTAATCGGTCATTCCCATTCGGGTAGTGTCTTGGGGAATGCCTGTAGTAGTTTCAGACGCCAGTGGACTAATGGTTGTTTCCCCAGAGATCGGAACCATTGTTGGTAGAGTCTTAGGAGCTCCTTCGGTAGTGTAATCGGTAATTCCCATTCTGGTGGTGTCTTGGGGAATGGCTGTGGTAGTTTCAGAAGCGATTGACGACTACCAACAAAGGGGTCACTAGCCTTGGTTTCAGCCATGTCAAGAACCCTGTGGAAGACACCTTATTAGACAATAAGGGTAAGATCACCACAGGACCCCTTACGGACACCATCAAAGTCTTTGGTTATTTGACTATCAACAAGGGGATCTTTAGCCATGATGTCAACAATGTCAGGATCCTCGAGGAAGTCAACATATTAGCCAGTAAGGGCAAGACCACCACAGAACCCCTTACCGACACCATCGTTCAGAAGCCAGTGGACTAATGGTTGTTTCCCTAGAAATCGGTACTACAGTTGGTACAGTCCTAGGAGCTTCTTCAGTGGTATAGTCGGTCATTCCTGTTCTGGTGGTGTCTTGGGGAATGGCTGTGGTAGATTCAGAAGCCAGTGGACTAATGGTTGTTTTCCTAGAAATCGGTACTACTGTTGGTACAGTCCTAGGAGCTCCTTCAGTGGTATAATCTGTTATTCCTATTCTCGTGGTGTCCTGGGGAATGCCTGTGGTAGTTTCAGAAACCAATGAACTGAAGGTTGTTTCCCNTTCAGAAGCCAGTGGACTAATGGTTGTTTCCCTAGAAATCGGTACTACAGTTGTTACAGTCCTAGGAGCTCCTTCAGTTGTATAATCGGTCATTCCCGTTCTGGTGGTGTCTTGGGGAATGGCTGTGGTAGGTTCAGAAGCCAGTGGACTAATGGTTGTTTCCCTAGAAATCGGTACTACAGTTGGTACAGTCCTAGGAGCTTCTTCAGTGGTATAGTCGGTCATTCCTGTTCTGGTGGTGTCTTGGGGAAAGGCTGTGGTAGTTTCAGAAGCCAGTGGACTAATGGTTGTTTCCCTAGAAATCGGTACTACAGTTGCTACACTCCTAGGAGCTGCTTCAGTGGTATAATCAGTCATTCCCATTCGGGTAGTGTCTTGGGGAATGCCTGTAGTAGATTCAGAAGCAAGTGGAGGAATGGTTGTTTCCTTAGAAATCGGTACTACAGTTGGTACAGTCCTAGGAGCTCCTTCAGTGGTATAATCGGTCATTCCCGTTCTGGTGGTGTCTTGGGGAATGCCTGTGGTAGTTTCAGAAACCAATGAACTGATGGTTGTTTCCCTAGAAATCGGTACTACAGTTGGTACAGTCCTAGGAGCTCCTTCAGTGGTATAATCGGTCATTCCCGTTCTGGTGGTGTCTTGGGGAATGCCTGTGGTAGTTTCAGAAACCAATGAACTGATGGTTGTTTCTCTAGAAATCGGCACTACAGTTGGTACAGTCCTAGGAGCTCCTTCGGTAGTGTAATCGGTCATTCCCATTCGGGTAGTGTCTTGGGGAATGCCTGTAGTAGATTCTGAAGCCAGTGGACTAATGGTTGATTCCTTAGAAATCGGTACTACAGTTGGTACAGTCCTAGGAGCTCCTTCAGTGGTATAATCGGTCATTCCCATTCTGGTGGTGTCTTGGGAAATAGCTGTGGTAGTGTCAGAAGCCAGTGGCCTAATGGTTGTTTCCCTAGAAATCGGCACTACAGTTGGTACAGTCCTAGGAGCTGCTTCAGTGGTATAATCAGTCATTCCCATTCGGGTGGTGTCTTGGGGAATGCCTGTAGTAGATTCAATTCGTTCACCTCCTTACCAACAAAGGAATCTTTAGCCATGATGTCAACCATGTCAGGATCCTCGAGGAAGTCACCATATTAGCCAGTAAGGGCAAGACCACCACAGAACCCCTTATCGACACCATCAAAGTCTTCGCTAACCGGACTACCAACAAAGGGGTCACTAGCCTTGGTTTCAGCAATGTCAAGAACCCTGTGGTTCTGTGGTATAATCTGTTATTCCTATTCTCGTGGTGTCCTGGGGAATGCCTGTGGTAGTTTCAGAAACCAATGAACTGATGGTTGTTTCCCTAGAAATCGGTACTACAGTTGGTACAGTCCTAGGAGCTCCTTCAGTGGTATAATCGGTCATTCCCGTTCTGGTGGTGTCTTGGGGAATGCCTGTGGTAGTTTCAGAAACCAATGAACTGATGGTTGTTTCCCTAGAAATCGGCACTACAGTTGGTACAGTCCTAGGAGCTCCTTCGGTAGTGTAATCGGTCATTCCTGTTCTGGTGCTCTCTTGGGGAATTCCTGTAGTAGATTCAGAAGCCAGTGGACTAATGGTTGTTTCCCTAGAAATCGGTACTACAGTTGGTACAGTCCTAGGAGCTCCTTCAGTGGTATAATCGGTCATTCCCATTCTGGTGGTGTCTTGGGAAATAGCTGTGGTAGTGTCAGAAGCCAGTGGCCTAATGGTTGATTCCCTAGAAATCGGCACTACAGTTGGTACAGTCCTAGGAGCTGCTTCAGTGGTATAATCAGTCATTCCCATTCGGGTAGTGTCTTGGGGAATGCCTGCAGTAGATTCAGAAGCAAGTGGAGGAATGGTTGTTTCCTTAGAAATCGGTACTACAGTTGGTACAGTCCTAGGAGCTCCTTCAGTGGTATAATCGGTCATTCCCGTTCTGGTGGTGTCTTGGGGAATAGCTGTGGTATTGTCAGAAGCCAGTGGACTAATGGTTGTTTCCCCAGAGATCGGAACCATAGTTGATACAGTCCTAGGAGCTCCTTCAGTGGTATAATCGGTCATTCCCATTCTGGTGGTGTCTTGGGAAATAGCTGTGGTAGTGTCAGAAGCCAGTGGCCTAATGGTTGTTTCCCTAGAAATCGGCACTACAGTTGGTACAGTCCTAGGAGCTGCTTCAGTGGTATAATCAGTCATTCCCATTCGGGTTGTGTCTTGGGGAATGCCTGTAGTAGACTCAGAAGCAAGTGGAGGAATGGTTGTTTCCTTAGAAATCGGTACTACAGTTGGTACAGTCCTAGGAGCTCCTTCAGTGGTATAATCGGTCATTCCCGTTCTGGTGGTGTCTTGGGGAATAGCTGTGGTATTGTCAGAAGCCAGTGGACTAATGGTTGTTTCCCCAGAGATCGGAACCATAGTTGATACAGTCCTAGGAGCTCCTTCAGTGGTATAATCGGTAATTCTCGTTCTGGTGGTGTCGTGGGGAATGGCTGTGAAAGTTTCAGAAGCCAGTGGACTAATGGTTGTTTCCCTAGAAATCGGTACTACAGTTGGTACAGTCCTAGGAGCTCCTTCGGTAGTGTAATCGGTCATTCCCATTCGGGTAGTGTCTTGGGGAATGCCTGTAGTAGATTCTGAAGCCAGTGGACTAATGGTTGATTCCTTAGAAATCGGTACTACAGTTAGTACAGTCCTAGGAGCTCCTTCAGTGGTATAATCGGTCATTCCCATTCTGGTGGTGTCTTGGGAAATAGCTGTGGTAGTGTCAGAAGCCAGTGGCCTAATGGTTGTTTCCCTAGAAATCGGCACTACAGTTGGTACAGGCCTAGGAGCTCCTTCAGTGGTATAATCGGTCATTCCCATTCTGGTGGTGTCTTGGGAAATAGCTGTGGTAGTGTCAGAAGCCAGTGGCCTAATGGTTGTTTCCCTAGAAATCGGCACTACAGTTGGTACAGTCCTAGGAGCTGCTTCAGTGGTATAATCAGTCATTCCCATTCGGGTAGTGTCTTGGGGAATGCCTGTAGTAGATTCAGAAGCAAGTGGAGGAATGGTTGTTTCTTTAGAAATCGGTACTACAGTTGGTACAGTCCTAGGAGCTCCTTCAGTGGTATAATCGGTTATTCCCGTTCTTGTGGTGTCTTGGGGAATAGCTGTGGTAGTTTCAGAAGCGATTGGCCTGATGGTTGTTTCCCCAGTGATCGGAACCAAAGTCGTTACAGTTCTTGGGACACCTTCTGTGGTATAACCTGTTATTCCTATTCTCGTGGTGTCCTGGGGAATGCCTGTGGTAGTTTCAGAAACCAATGAACTGATGGTTGTTTCCCTAGAAATCGGTACTACAGTTGGTACAGTCCTAGGAGCTCCTTCAGTGGTATAATCGGTCATTCCCGTTCTGGTGGTGTCTTGGGGAATGCCTGTGGTAGTTTCAGAAACCAATGAACTGATGGTTGTTTCCCTAGAAATCGGCACTACAGTTGGTACAGTACTAGGAGCTCCTTCGGTAGTGTAATCGGTCATTCCTGTTCTGGTGCTCTCTTGGGGAATTCCTGTAGTAGATTCAGAAGCCAGTGGACTAATGGTTGTTTCCCTAGAAATCGGTACTACAGTTGGTACAGTCCTAGGAGCTCCTTCAGTGGTATAATCGGTCATTCCCATTCTGGTGGTGTCTTGGGAAATAGCTGTGGTAGTGTCAGAAGCCAGTGGCCTAATGGTTGTTTCCCTAGAAATCGGCACTACAGTTGGTACAGTCCTAGGAGCTGCTTCAGTGGTATAATCAGTCATTCCCATTCGGGTAGTGTCTTGGGGAATGCCTGTAGTAGATTCAGAAGCAAGTGGAGGAATGGTTGTTTCCTTAGAAATCGGTACTACAGTTGGTACAGTCCTAGGAGCTCCTTCAGTGGTATAATCGGTCATACCGGAAGAGGTGGGGGCATGGGGAGTGTGTGGGGTAGGGTCAGAGGCCTATCGATTAATGAGTAATTGCGTAGAAAGCGGTACTACAGG